TGGTTTGGGGGTGATGAGGTCTGCGGGACCCGAAGGGAGCTCCCTGGGCACCACTCGACCCTGAGAAGTAGCTGCTTTTTCCTAGAGATTGTTTTGGTTTTGTTGCTGTTGCCAAATCCAGTGACTGTTCTAACGCTTTCTTTGGGGGGGGTAGGGGGGAAGGCAGCAGGGGCTGGGGCAGGAAGGGGAATAATCCAGTTTGTGTTTATTTAATTCTGTAATTTATTTTAGATTTTTTTTTTTTTTTTTAATCATTAGCTGCAAGGAATGGAAAAAACAATAAACCCTGGATGTGTTATTTCAAACTGAGCCTCATGCTGTTTGGAGGAATTCGAGGGGGTTGAGAACAACCACATGGGAGCCCCCAGGCTTGGAAGGAGCTGAGGTGGCAGACCAGGGGCCATGGTCCCCGGGGACAGGCAATGTGATGGGTGCATGACTGCCAGGCTGCAGGGGAGCGTCCCCTCTGCCGTGGTTGGGACCGATCACCCCATGCCCTTCTTCAGCATCCCAGGTGCTGGGCTGGGGGGGGCTCCCTGCACCCCACGCCTGGCATGGTGACCCTCTGCATGGGGAGCATGCAGCTCCCTCTGTCTGGCTCAGCCCCACTCAGCACTGTGGCTTCTCCATGGCTGGGCTTGGCGCCTGCTGCCTCCTACTGCAGGTTTCTTGTGTCGCCCTGATGAATAATCTTTTCCACTCTGTTGCTCGGTAGGTGATTCGTGTTGGTACCATGAGATGCTGGGGTGTCTGTGCCAGGTGGGGGGGATCGGGGCACAAGCAGGACCTGTGGGGCAGTGCAGTGTCCAGGCAGTGTGGCTGGTTGGGAGCTAGGGTGCTGGGCTCGGGGTGGGGGTGGGAAAGGGCTTGGCTTTGATGTGCCAAACAGAAGCCTGAGGTGTGGGTAATGGAAACTTCTGGGCAGCTTTATTTATCCCATGCTCCAGTTACAATCCCATCTCGCTTTCCCCATTGTCAGGAGGGAAACTCAAGCCTCAGCTGGTGCTCGTCATGGCTTCTTGTGGGGCGGAGCTGGGGGCTGTCTGCACCACACCGTGGGCAGGGTGGAGTGGCTGGGGCACCAGGTGCATGGTGTGCACTGCCAAGCCTGGCTCGGGGTAGCTCTGCTGGGACTTGGGCGCAGGGGCTACTGCCCCGTGGAGGGAACCAGGGCGCGGCTCATCGCAGTGGAGGGCAGCACTGCTCTGGGCCTGCTGGGCTGGGCTGTGTCTGGTCTGTGCCTGGCACCAGTGGGGAGCTGGGCTCAGACCTCTCCGTCTTAATTAATTAGCCAGCACTGGGGCCTTCCCGTCCCTCTTTCAAGAGCAACAAGTCTGTGAGTGAGCCTCCTTAGCACACCCAGGTTAGCACCAGCTCCAACAAAGGCCTTGAGATCACAGCCCTGACAAGAGCTGCCAGCTTAGGAAGCTGCTTGTGGGGGCAGCCATTTCCCCTCCCCACATCCCCTCTGTATAGGTCTCTCCACTGCCAACCCCAGCAGGGCCAGGCTAACAACATGTGCTTAGCATGAGAGCAGCCCTTGTACCCTAACCCAGTCACGGGGAGGCTTCCTCATCCCTGCCAAGCACCCTTGGGCAGAGGCAGGGGCTAGTGCTGACCCCAGCCTGTCCTGGTCCGCCTGTCTTACTGCCACCCTGCAGAAGGCTGCTGAAAGAGACAGGCAGAGCTTGGCTGAGGGAGCTGCACCCTTTGCCCAGCTGTAGTTGGAGGAGCAGTGGCAGGGGCCCATGGCCAAGGGCAAGCTGTGAGCAGCCAGCCCTAAGGCTGCAGCACGGATGGGTTACACAGCCCCAGCCCCTTGCCTGCTGCAGCCACTGAGCTCAGCAGGGCTTTGTGCGCCAGGGTTGTTGGTGTGACTGATGAAACAAAGTGCCTTTAATCTATGCCCCCACCGGTGCTGGGGGGACTGGGACACTGGGAGAAGGTGAGTGATACTGTCTGCCACCCCCAGGAGTTGGTGCTGCTGTCAGCCACATCTGAGCAGAGCTGGAGACAGCACTGACATGCAGTTGCCAGCATGCAGCTCCTGTGCAGGGGCCCTGTGGTGCTAGGGCATCCCTTGGCACCCAGTGGTGGGTGCCCTGAAGCTGGGACGTCTTCTTGTGATGCTGGAGCCCAGCGGGTGCTGAGCAGGCAGATCCCATTCCCATTCCCAGGCTGGTCACAGTGGTCCCAGGCCAGGGACCCCCATGTTGTACCCCTGCTGCAGGGCTTGGGTGGGTGGCGTTGTAACCTCCTGGGATCTCTGGCCTGCCATGGAGGGTCTGTTTGGGCAGATAAAAGGGCCATGACCTGGGGCAGGAGAGTCAATATTGGCTCCAGGACAGGCTCCAAAGTCCAGCGCAGGGAGCTGGCTGACAGGGAGCTGGGCAGTGGGCAATTCACCTGGGTGCCACATGCGTGTACCCGAGGTGCAACCCATGAACCAGCCATGCTGCTACTAAGGGCCTTGCCAGACCTCTGGTGTGCAGGGAAGCATGTGGTGCCAAGGCCCAAGCTGGCTCAGTGCAGCGACAGCATGAACACAGACACAGCACAGCAAGAGCAGCAGTCCATGTTCCACCTCCTTGGGTGGCTTGTGGAGTCTGGTGGGGACACCCTGCCCTTGAGCACCCTGGTGCTTGCCAAATAGCTCGCTGCCTCTCAAGCACTCACCCAGATAAGTGCATGCTGCTGGGCCCCAGCTATCACACAGTGGTGGAGCTGCCGGCGCCTGACTACTGCCTGCTATCAGGCCCAGCAGCCCAGCTGGCTCCACTGCAGGCCCCAGGAGCTTAGCAGGGCTGGCCCTGCTAGTGCCACAGAGCCAGACCAAGCTGGAGATGCCCATCTGACCTGCCTTCTGCTGGGGACCCTGCCTTTGTCACAGCAGCTCTCAACATTGTGGCACAGACCACTTTGGTGTCACTGCTTTTCTGCAGCTCCTCAAGCCCAGGGTGTGTTGTGGAGAATCAGCTGCCCATCCCCCCACACCCCCAGCTCACCCCAGACCCTGCAGGCCATCTCCCCTCCCTACTTGGAGCAGCCACAAACACAACCAAACCACAGCAACCCCCCCAAACCACTTGCCAACACTTGTGCACTCAGCCCTCACAGGATTCGAGCTGAAGCTGGTCTGGTTTTAAAGACCAGGCCGAGCTCGGCCCTGTCCCATCCCCACAGGGAGCCCTTCTGCTTGCCTGTCCCAACTGCCTGAGGCACAGGAGGCAAGGCTTCAGAGGCTGAGGCCACCCCAAAGTCCTGGCCCAGGCTCCTGCTCCCACTCCCCAGCACTCCTGGAGCTGCAGACATTATCGCCCCTGCCCCACAAAGCAAGAAGGTCCCGGGTCCCTTCAGCAACAGAAATAAATTCTCTGTGCTCTGAAAAGGTGCTAAAAAAATCCCAAGTCACATGGACCATTAGTTGCTTAATATTAATCATTAAGCTTCAAGGAAGCCGAGATGGGACCCAGGCAGAGGGTCCTTGTAAGCCACTCCCTGAGGCCATGCTGCAGATCCAGAAGATGCAGGCATCCCCAGCCCTGGCTTGTCACCCAGAGCAACAGTGGGTGCAGCTGGGACTGCCATTGCCCACCAGCCTGCAGCACCAGGGGTGCCACAGCTGCCTGCCAGCACAGAGCAGGGACAGCTATTTATAGGACACTAATGCCATGCAGGAGCTGCTATAAAAAGCGAATCTCAGAAAAGGTCTTACAGCAGATGCTGGTGTGAGGTCTCCACACTGAGGCCTGGACCCATCCCAGCTTGAGTCATGCTCTGGTTCACCCAGGTCCTGTTGCACATCCAACAGGCAGAACCTTTGCTTGTGGTGTGGGGATGAGGCTTCTCCAAGGAAAGCATTATTTATCTCTTGCCAGTAATCTGAAAGCCCACAAAGCCCTGGGAGGAGGAGGGGGTCTAAAGCCCACTCAGCCCAGCAGATCTGGACCCCACTTGGCTCAGATCAGCTCCTGAGCACTCCCAGCTCTGCTCCTAAATAATCAGGACAATGGCAATACCCAGGAAGGCATCACACCTCTCACCTTATGACACTGGTAGAAGTACAAACTTTGACCAACACCTTCATTGTATAGCTGACTGGTTGTACATCAGCAACAACGGGTTATTTGGCCTCGTGCTGAAGCATGGCAGAGCAGTGTCCCACTCACACTGGGAAAGAGCCGATGGCTCCCCTTGGGAGCCATGCTTTTCAGACACAGCAGGAACAGTCCTCACTGATCTCTGAACTGCAGCAAACAGGGCTGTGGTTACAAAATGCACATTAACAGACCTAGGGAGGAAGTTTAGATGGCAATCCAGCCACACAATGCTGAGGTGAAAGAGCAGTTATTTAGCTCCCCTCATCACTCCCTTTTATTCCCTTCAGAACAACCCACAGTGCCATGATGCAGTAAAGAGCCCCGCATCTTGCTGCAGGAACAATATCTGCAGTCCAAAGGAAGAGAACGGAGTGAAAGGGGCAGCCAGCTGAAGGACTGCTCCCTCCTGACCCTTTCACTGTCCAGGAGGAAAAAGAACACATCCCCTTGTCTTTGGGGAGGACAATCAATAGGGCCAGCTCAAAGCACACACCTCCATGCCAGCAAATAACCTTCTGCCCAGCAAAGCTTAGGAAAAGGCATTGTGCAAAGACAGCCCCATCACAGAAATGTTAACAGCAGCACAACCCACCTGTCTGAGCAGGTACACCACCTGGACCAGAGGCACAGACCAAGAGCTGGTATAACCAAATGTGAGCAGAGCTCAGCCTATAAAATGGTTCTACAGAGTTGTAAGCTGACCTAACCCAGACTCAGTGCTCCTTTGATCCTTTTCTCTGTGCCTCCTTTTTCCCTCCAGAATTAAGACAGCTGTATCACTTCTGATGCAGGCTCTGAGGAAAGCAGAGCTCTGTGGAACATGAGATGTCTCAGTCTTGCACAGAGGGCACCTACAAAGGACTTGATGCAAGACAGTTTTACAAACACAAGTACATAATGTTTATTTTTTAACTTTCCAATTTATTACAAGTACAGCCCTTAGCAGACCACCCCTCCCACCACAAATGACATTTATTTTTAAAAAACATACAGTTCCAAAGGTTTCACTGTGTAGGACCTGCAGAAAATGTTCTCTATTAATAGGACAAAACATAGCCTCTGAAGGGGACGTGCGAAATACAAACGTCAGTGCTATTCTGTGGGACATGGAGCTGAGGCTGGGGAGAGGGGAAGAGGGAAGTGGCTGGAAACCTGTCTAGTCTCAACAGCCATCAGTCCAGAACTGAAACAAATACCTGTTAATAAAAGAGTTCACAAAACTAGGCTGCAATTTTTTAATCGAGGATCTCAATTTTATTCTCAAATCACAGGAGCCATAACAGCTGCTTTTGTTTTTCTGTGTTACAAAACCAGTATAGAACAGCACTGTGACTAGTTCGTTCTAAACTGAAGAATTCTATAATAAAAAGTTCAAGCCTTAATTGTATGATCAAAACCTGTAATGATGGAGAGGGAGAGGTGATTAAAGAACATTATTTTCTTAGAGAAAAGTCAGTATCCCAAGTGGCAGAACCCACTGCTGGGGCCATGGCAGAGCAGCCTCCCAGCAGGACAGAGCTTCCCCACTGGTCAGCCTGTGTGGGACGGTCCTCATGGTGCTGGGGGGGTGCAAGAGAGGTGACCTAGGGAAGGTGTTACTACAAAAGGAGATGAGAGCATGGCTAGAGAGGGACTGGGAAACCCCCACCAACAAGTCCCCCAGTGTAACTCCAGCTACTGATAGGAAAATGAGTTTTCAGAGGGGGGAAAATATACAGCAAACACAATTTGATATAAACTGTACATGTGCCAAAGCAAGACAACAGTATCTTACAGATGTTCTTTATACAAGATCACAGCTAGAAACAAGCCACTTTTAATAACTAGAAAATTACTTTAAAAAGTTACACAGAACATGTTTCTGCTGTTCCCCTTGCCCTGGAGTGCCCTACAGGGTGTGCAGAAAGACATGCTCTCTGGTATACTTCTGGCACTAGGTTCATCCAAAGGGCTACATGATTGTGTGCTGTTCAAGGTGAGCAGGGAAACCAACTGCCTATTCTCTGCAACTTATGTGTGGAGAGCTGATCTCAGAAGAACTCTTCAGAGCACAACCTCCAGAGATTGCTCCCTAGGGGTGGGGGGGAATGGGGGGGGGGAAGCAAGAGCACCTTGAAGCCAATTGTATTAGGATGCTGGTGAAAGCTGTGTCTCTATAAATGTAAGTGCTTGCTCGCCCTACACAACCCTTCAGTGGGGGCTCAAAATTAATACCATATAAATATATACATACAAGAACTAGCAGCCCATTGGCCTGATCACACCCAGTCTATCTGTGAAGCAGTAAGATCCCTCCCTGCACGAGCTCAAGGCTGGTTTCACATCACAGGCAGCAGACAGCAAAGGTTCCACCATGCTCCAGTGCTGGCTGCTTTCAGAGTGGAAGAAGTGGCTCGTTCCAAGAAAGCCAAGAGCGCCCAAGCTAGAGCGGACTTCACACACTTTGGCTAGGCCTTTCCCTTGCCCTCCCACCTTCCCCTCCTAGCAGGACAGACATGTATGAGCTTTGTGTATTTTGCAGGAAGCAGTTAAGTCATCTCTGCTCACTCAATGGATGACCAAATATTTGAGGAAATTGCAGAAAAAATAAAGCTAGGACACGCCAAAGGAAAGGCTGTATTAATAGAGAAGTGCCTGCTGCTTCCTAACTCCCTTCAGACAACCCATCCTGCTGCCCAGCAGCACCAGAAGGCCTGCTCCAGCTCTGGCTCTCCCCCTAGTTCCCCCCCATCCCTCATTTCTTCCTTTTCCGCCCCCGGGAATGTTCAAGGGGCTCTGACTCACTGTCGCCTTCCTGCTCCTCCAGTCCCTGGCACCTGGCAGAGAGCTTCTTACGTTTCCTGCGTGCATACGTGTGGCCAGGAAGGTGCTTGTGCACCATGTCGATCAAACATTGTTCTGTCTTCTCCAGGCAGGACAGTACATGACTCCCATTCTGGTTGTAGCACTCAGCATTGGAGAACACCTGTTTGATGTCAGAGAGGAACTCCTGCACTGAGCGGTAACTGCCACAAGAGCACTTGCTCTGCATAGTCTGGAAGTCCATAGGATTGCTGATGACCTCAAAGTAATCTTCGGCTTCTTCTGTGGTCACTGGCTCCCTGACGAACGAAGAGCCACAAAGATAGGAGGAAAATGACGGGCCCTGGCACTGTGCAGTGCAGAGCTGTGGAGGTGTAAACCACCCCCACCCCCTTTGCTGAGCAGTAGCCCCAACCTGCACCCCCTGCAGTGCCATAGCAAACCCACAAACCTCAACAGCACTACAGTGTTAGCCCTGTGCTGGCTGCAGTGCTGAAGACAGAAATGACAGCAGCTCATCCTTCTGCCCAGAGTACTGGCCCAGGCATAGGGACTGGTACATGGCAGGTAAGGCTATTTTGTCTCAGTCAAGCCTCCTACAGAGCACCTGCAAATCCTGGGGGCTGCAGAAAGCACTGATCCCATCCTCCCCTCTCTGGCTCATAGCCTACCACCCTCTGTTATACCACCTCAGAAGGGCCCCAGGTCTTCAGTCCAGCAGAGGACTGAGAGTATGGTGATTTCTACTGGAGCAGATTCACTCCAATCTGTAACTTGCTTTTGAAACCCAGGTCTCACAACCAGCAAGTGGATCCAGCAGGACTGCATCATGGCTATCCTACACCTACACACAGCCCAGGTACAGTCCTGTGCACATGGAGGAGGAAGCTACCTGCCCTCACCTGAAGGGCCAGCTGAAGCGGTATTTGATCAACTTGCTGAGGATTTCCTCACACTTCTGCAGTTCAAGGCTTTGGCGACGTGTTGTCTTCTTTGTTTGAATGACCTGCCCACACAAAGGAGGGATGCTGTTAAAAGGAGGGGAACCACCATGGGCTGTAGTATTCATTAAACAGTTTCAAGGCCAAAGTAGTTGGTTCTTAACAGACATTTTCTTTTCAATTCTCTTGCTTACAAGCCAGTGTCTTTTGGGGTGGAGGATACATAATACTGCTGCACAGAAACAGCTCAGCTCTTTCAAATGCAGACATCTTCCACAATAATCAAGAGGCAAACGGCTCTGCTACAGGGCCATGTTCATGGTAACAGCCAAGACACACGGTGGCAGCTTGAGTTACAGAATGGGAGCCCCATCCATAAGCTCTGATGGGAATAGCTCACAGGCTGCTTGTGTTTTCTCCTGGCACAGCAAACTTTTTCAAGATAGGTTTAAAAACAACAGGGTCAAAGGAAGCAGGCAAATAACATGGACAGCAAATGAAGAGTGTAAATTCCCTCTCTGAGCCCCTGGTGGACAGCACGTGAGAAGCAGAGGGGGAAAGCACTTGTGCTACTGTACTGAGGGCCAATTCCAGAGCCTACTCTGCCATTTTAAATACCAAAGAGCAGCTGATGCCTCAAGTGCTGCTGTCCGATACAGAGGCAAAACACAAGGTCAGCCATTTGCCCACAAATCTATAGGTCAGCCACCAGCACAGCGACATCTCAGCTCTGACCGTCCACAGCTCACGAGGCACTGCTCTGCTTAGGGTACATCAGAAGGCTCCACAACACAGGGAGCCATTCCTGAGAAAGCTTTGGACTCTTTCCAGAACAAATAGTAAGTGAAAGAGCCCTAGTCAGAGTTCCTGACCCAGCTGTTCCAGTAAGATTTTTCCCACTTGAACATCTCTCTAAGCAGGCTGTGGCAGTCCATGCTGGGCTTGCTGGTTTGGTTGCCCTCCAGTCTGCAACAAAAAACAGCTAAAAAGATGCTGCAGATCAGCACAACCAGCCCACCCACACCCAGCACAAGAAGCTGTGAGCCCAAAGACCCCAGTCAAGACCACTCGAGAGGAGTGACAGGATACAGCCACAGCAGTGCTGCTCAGCAGACATATGGCAGAAGCTAGTGACGTGGTCCACAGGGCTAGAGTATCCTCACATATCCCCTGTGGTGCATCCCTCTTCAGGATAAACAGGACAGTATGCGGCAGCTCCACCCCAACTAGCACGCACGCACAAGATTGCTCAGGAGCAGAAGGTTTTATTCTTTAAATGTCAAGTGAAACCTAAGCCAGCCAAATTATATCCTGGAGGTTGGGGAGTGACCATACGGACAACAACTGCCAGAAAATGGCCAAGGCCAGGGAGTGAGGGTCCTACATTGCTGGCATTCTCTGAACATGCAGGACTGCCTTCAGTCCCCCCCATCTCTCTGTAGAGACATATGGATACTATTTAAAACCCTTTAACAAGCTGCAGGCTGCCTGCTAATCAAGGAGGGACAATGTGTGGAAGCGGCTGGGGAAAGATGTCTGGCATATCTCTGCTCGATTTGCACCGGGCCCTTAAGGATATGTCTCCTTTGTTAACCCGCCTCCAGCCCAGCATGGGTTACACAATACAATTCAGGGCATTTATTTGGGAAGGGGAGGGGAGGAAGTGTGACACCTGTTTCGTTTATAACTCATGATGTGAGCAGCCCCCAGGGAGCAATTTGGCTCTTACCAGCTCATCAATGTCTGCGCCGTTGACAGGTGCAGCCCGCTGCTGGGGTCCCCTGGCAGGATGCAGCAACTGCTTCTTCCTTTGGTGCCTTCCCTGCCTCGAGGAGTACATGGCTGTGCTCTGCTTGCCCCGGGCTGCCTTTCTGGGTCTCACTGAAACACATAAGCCATGGGCTTAGAGGCATGGGTTAACCTGGAATCAGAGATCACAAGCCTTTTCCCCAGACATACACACCAGGTAGTCTCACTCACAGCACAGAGAAACTACTGAACCCACGGATGAGGGGAATGATCCAGCTTCTCATCACCATCCTCACCCAGCACATGCCCATGTCAGCTGTGCTCAGTACCCCTCTTCAGATGAAGTATGCACTTCCCGTCCAGAGGCCAATGCTGTCTGGCAACAATCTTCTAACTAAGGGTGGTCACACAAACCAACCCACAGTCCTCTACTTCTAAGGGACATCTGGGGGCTTCCAGATACTCTGCCACAGGTATGGCTTTGCTTGCTTCCTGCGTGTTGTGACAGAAAGACCCTCTGCCTGCAGAATTAAGTGCCGAATACCTGACACATCAAGACTTGAGGGAGGGTGGGAGAAGTAATGCAAGGATGGACAGTTGTTTTAAATATAACTGCAACATCTGTTTTGAAAGCACTGGGTACAGAAACCTGCACAACTGCTCTGGTTTCCTGCTGCCCCCTTGTTCCTCAGCCATTTGTGGATGGGTTCTTTTCCAAACATTTATGAACGGCCCACACAGTGGGATAAACCAGTTGCTAAGCCCCCCTGAAAAGTGAACTGTGTGCACAGGGAGTGTCAACTTACCGCAGCAGGGAGCTGCTCCACGTGCTGCAAGTGGGAAACAATAGGATTTTATCCCCCAAACCAGGGCTGCTGCATTATGTCCCACAGTAATGTTCCTGCTCGTTTGCTAAGTCTCCCTGTCAGAGCCCTACAATGATGGAAATGCAAGTGTGCTGTTCAACTCCCTTGTCTGAAGTTTCTCTCATGACCCCTGTGTATCAGGAGAATATGCTGGTTTTCGTCCCCAGACAAGCTCCTTCCACCTGGTCCCAAGTGCTTCAGCAAGCTGCATGCAGCATGCTGTAGCACTTTATCTGCAGCCTCTAATCCAGCCCTGTCCAATAAATCATCTTGCCAGGCTCCCCCCGCAGGATAAGTGTGCGTCAGGGCAGTGGGACGTCTGTCTGCTGTCACTCCTGCTTGTGTGTCAAGCAGGAGGCACGTGCTAGATGTCTGACAATCCAACATTCTAAGTTATATCCCTCAGGATAAACGCCACATGGATTAATGGGACTTGTCTATTAAAACAAAAGTTTTCCACAGTGACCTTTCCATGTCAATGCTCTTTAAAACCAGGAGTTGCATTTAGTACTTTATTTTTAGCAACTGTAACTCTTCCGCTATTGTTTGGAAACCTTGGCTTTGCTCCTGACTTGGCCATGCAACATGGACTGAACATGCTCCAAGTGTGGACACAGATACACCACAGAACAACAAGCAGCATACATAGCTAGGGTATCAGTGAACATCCCTGAAACTATAATGAAGCAGGGGAATCAAGACTGATAGACACAGATGGAAACCCTTGAAAGAACATGGGATAAGCCTTTAGGTCCCAGTCTCTGAATTTCACCATCTGCCCTGGTTAAGACAGTCTGAAGCTAATTTTATGTTAGTCAAGGGCATTTTGACTGAAAGCAAATGCTGGGAGTACACCATTCCAACACTGAGCTTTTCAGTGTACCGAGTTGCCCAAAGGAGACAAAGTCAAACTCTCTTAAAAACAAAGTGGATACACTCACTAATAAGTGGTAAGTGATCACACTACACTAGAATAGAAAAGTAGTCACTGAAGAGTCTAGAAAATGCTATTTTATTCCATTCAGCTGCCCAGGAACGAGCTAGCATGCATCCTGAGTGCATGTATGCATGCACTCTGTATGCAACTAACAGGTGCTGGCAGTTCAGGCCACACTACACCTTCAATACTGTGCCTTCCCAGTGGAATGGATAGATGAAGTACTGTTCTTACTACTTGGTAATGGCACCTTGCCACTAGAAATCCTGTATTTAAGAGGTTACAACCTGGTGGAAAAGGAAAAAGTAAGGAGAAGGAGCTGTGATTAAAGCTTCAGGAGAACCTATTAACAGTGTTCAGTTTAGCAAAAAAACTCTCTAGGCACAGACTGTCAGTACCAGTAACAGATAATGCCATTTAACCCTTCCCTGATGCAGCCTCTGCTGACTGCCAGGCAGTGTATTATTAGCAGTGCCCCCAGGGGAGCAACCAACAGTGAGCAAGAGCTCACTACAGTTTCAATCTCTTTAAGTGCTGTCTTTGTACAAAGGGAAGAGAGCTACTTCCAGCTCCCCAGGTAACATACGACACAACCACAGCCTTCCTTGTGAAATCTCCCAATTTTCCAAGAACCTGTTCTGTATGAGGAGAAGTACAAATCTGAAATTGGATTAATTTTTTGGACACGGAAGGCAGAGTTTTAACATTTTCTGTTACTTCCCTGCATGGTCAAAGCCTTACGTTTCAGTCCAGCAACTTCATAATTTTCTTCCTCCTCTTCTTCTTCCTCAGCATCTTGTTCATCAGAAGCTTCCTCACCTTCTTCACCTTCATCTTCAGCAGAATCCTCTGTGTAGTTCCTAGAGCAAGGCAAGTAAAACATATTTGTTGTACCAGAACCTGGTGTGAGAAGCCCTAGGCCTTCTGTACTGTTTGTTCACAGACTTGCTGACCAACTCAGTGTGTAAAATAAAAATCCAGACTCAAACTGAAGCAATCTACTTTATTTCCTAGAGTATCAAGCTGTGGCTACACCTAAAAGAGCGCTTTCCAGACTACAATCTGAACATCTGGGCTGACAATTCCCAACAGATGAATCTGTGCATTCCTTCCCCCATCCCAGACACCTTGACCACTTGATAAAGTATTTTTTGATACTGACTGCTATGCACGTACTCCTCCCTGAGAGGAAGCGCTGCTGTTTTACACAGGTCTGCCTGCAGGCCTGGCCTAAGGAATTTCAGATTTTTTATTTTGTTCCTGCTGGAATATTTTCCTGTCATCACCTTCCATTGTCAGGCTACTTGCATGTGCACTATAGGAAACAGACCTTGATTAGTGCTATTCATAGCTAAGCTTATTACTGAGCAGATCATCAGTTCAGGCTTCTCATGTGCTGATGTCAAAAGCCACAAAGACTCTGCCCAGGAGTTCCAATTTTCTGCAAGTGTTTATTAAACATTTAAACCATAACAAAGAGTAGCATGCATAGGCAGAAGGGGACAAAGGCAAAGCTATTGTGGGAGTCAGTCCTCTGGAGAAAGAGGATCTTGAGCAGTAAACGGAATAAGAATCAGCTCCCACAGGAGCAAAAGCAGGGCAAAAGTCTTTGCAGGCCAGCATTTTCTTCCTGTCTCAGCTAGGAATAGCAGAAAGACAGGTGTTGCTCCACCTGATGGCTGTCATCCAGGAGCCAAGCAGCTTCCAGGTGACTCCACCACATCAAAGTAACTATGATCTCAGGCTAAAACAGCTGCATTAAAACCCTGTAATTCTTGTACTACTCTGATGAACTCTTAAATGGTGCCCAGGGAGCTAAGTAATACTTTCAAAGCTGTGTACCACCTTACACACTACAAGCTAGTACTCCTCTTGTTGTGCTGCCACTTTGTAAGGGAGAATCAGTTGACTGCTTATGCATCAGGTGTCATTTGATAGCCTCATCTTGCTGACAAGCATATAGATGCAGCACAGAGTCACAATTAGCTTACTTTGTAAGCAAACAAAATACATTCTGCATACAGTTAGCCTGCAATTCACAAAACAATTCAACCACTTGCTGTCAGTTGGCAACTACTCAATTCTGCTGCATAGAACAATTTTGATTCCTCCTCAAATCGTGTTCTCTCTGAAGTCAATAAGGGCTCTTGCCTTAAGGTGTCAATGTTCATCCAGTCCAGAAAACTGACAAGGTAGCATTTCATAGTCAGATTTTTAGTCACCCAGTAGGGTTTGAGCTGCAGCCTGGAACAATGTCTGCTTTAATTAGACAAGGCCACAAGAGTAACTTATCTCAGGGGACTACAGAGCTGTAGCACTACCAACTACACTCCCACATAAAAACAACCCAGCAAGTTGCTCTGTCAAACAAAGCAACAGTCTTTACTACATAGAATTTTGGTTCATGTTTTGTGCATGATTCCACTGCCACACTGAAATTACTTATTAAAATGACTGAAGTTGTCATGGGACAGTACAACACAGGCGTGCTAAAGTTACAGCCTGAAAAAATTGCTTTTCTATTGTTCCGGTGCAATTGAATTAACTTGACTATTTCAATCCTTTTAAAGAAGCTGTTAAATGCTTTTTGTGTTATTTTGTGGAAGCATGGCTAGAACTCTGCATCAATGATAGCACGAAGGAAAGGAGCGCCACTTACCTGCCCCGTGAACCACGCCTGGCGGTGGAAGGCTGACAAGCTGGGCACTGCCATTCACCATCTGGTATCTCATAGAGTGCCGGTCTCAGACAGAACAGGTGGAAGGCTTTGTTACACTCATCGCACAGGATCAGCTTGTCATCCTCACCTAGGAGAGTGCAACTTACTTGTAACCAAGTGTCATAGCCTTGCTCAACCTGTGATGCAGAAACTGCCACAGGGCTAGAGATCAGGAAGCAAAAGAAAAACACAAAATGCCCTCTCATGACAGGGACCCTTCCTCTCAGTTTCCACTGCAGTGGAAACAAGCAGCATTTGAATTAAATACAACAGTGTAACATCCCTCAACTCAAATGAAATCTTTGCAGACCAAAGGCAGAAACCTGCCAAATACATTCCACCCAGACTAAATCTCAAACCAAACATAGGGAAAGAATTACGCTGCAGAGATGCCCAAAAGCCTAGCAAGAAGCTAGGAACGGAACCATTCTTATTCTAGCCTCAATCTGATCAACTTGCACAGCTTCTTCTTTCTACTTAAGGCAGCAAGCCCACAGGGGAAAAAAAAAGTGTATGCAGCAGAACTAAGTTCTCTGTGCTTCTCAGTGATACAGGGAAACAAGAACGTAGTTCTGAGCCAGTTACTTCATTTACTGAGAAAAAAAAATATATAATAATAATGCAGAGAGCTTGACAGCATGTCTCTAAAATCCCAGTTTTCAAGTTCTGTGAAACTCTAGTCTGTTAGTCTCAGGTAAGCCTCCCCTTACATCTGCCTAGACTCCCCTTCTCAGCAGCAGACAGGACAGTTTACACATTGGTTTGGATGAAGCTCCATAGTGAAGAAGGACATTGCACCAATTCATCTCTAATTTCTTGAGAGATGGACAGCATAGCTGATTGGTAAACAGAAGTGGCCTACCATTCCCCCAGGGGTCTGTCTGCTGCTAGTGTTTCAGCAAATACAGAATGATACAAAAAGCACACAATGAGGCAGAACGTGCTACCAAGCTCTTTTGTCCAAGCTTCCATCCAAAAGGAGGTTATGGCAGAACAATTACTAGTACTCCACTACTGGTGACACCCTCCCTAGCTTTCCCCTCCACCTGCATGACTCCAAAGCCCTTCATCATGTCAGGCACACAGAGAAGATGGTCTCTTGTCACTTGTTCAGGTATTTCCCCAGCCTTACCAGAGCAGCAGCCAAAGGCAGGTAGATTCATTTCTCTGCTCTCACACACAAGAGACATTTTGCTTCTTCTAGCTCAGCAAGCACTTCTACTTCCACTATAGCCTCAAACTAGCATCATTCTACTTCTCTCTCCTATTGAGTTACAAAATGCATTAATCTTCCTAACCTCTTCTTGCTTGTTACTTCTGTAAGAGATAGGAATAACTGACAAAGCTCAGAGACCCATTGACCATTCCAACTCAAAAATTAAACAGGGAAATGGACAGTGGCACAAAAGTTCCCAGAAGTATTTGTAGATGACTTGTGTCCAAGTACTGTAAATATTCAGGGAATAGCAGCTCTGCAATGTTCTGCAAGACTTTTTACTGGTTTCGTAAGAATGGTTTATTGGAGTCAGGGTCAAATGCTTCTGTGAGATGAATGCTTCTGTGTAAATTCTCATTTTTAAAACTCAAAATACAGCCAAAGCAAGTGACAACAACACGGGCATGTTGCCTAAGCAAGGCATGGAGAGGTGTCAGCGTCCGACTGTTACGCAGGCGGGGGGCAGGAATGCATACCTTTTTTGCGACACACTTTGCATCTGGCATTCTCTGCCGACATATCCCACTTGATACAGGCATCCAGCATCCCGAGCAGCACATGCATACGGGAGAAGGTCTGGGCCTCACGGATTGCTGTCTTCCACTTCTCCATGGCTGAAGCAACCTGCAGACAGACCTAACAACTTACAACGAAGCACACAGACACACCTCACTACAGTCTGAAGATGTTTTTAATATCCTTTATCTGGGGCCCTTAATAACCAAAATTCAACTTTATTTTTTTTCCTTCTCTATAGCCTCTGCAGTCCTATTTGTGGCTCATCCATAGTCAGCCTTACTGGATTAGGCAATTTGTTCATAGTAATACAGCCCCTCTGCATTTTATAGCCAAAATAAAACAACCTATGTAAACTGCACCAAATTCTTATTCTGAAAGTCTAACCCAAATAATCAGCAAGCTAAGAAATTAAAAAGCAGAAATCTAGCACTATAAAATGTAGGGCTCCCCAGGGAAGTGGTCACTGCACCGAGCCTGTCTGAATTTAAGAAGAGATTGGACTGTGCACTTAGTCACATGGTCTGAACTTTTGGGTAGACCTGTGCGGTGTCAAGAGTTGGACTTGATGATCCTTAAGGGTCCCTTCCAACTCAGGATATTCTAGGATTCTATGATTCTATGAAAGTCAGTAGACAGCTGGCAGCACCACTTGAGCATGGTGGATTGGAGCAGCCTGTACTGCCCTCCAGTGGGTACTGCAGAGAGGCTCGAGCCCATCGGCAAGATACACCACTTGGTCTTTTGAGCTGCTCAGCTGGGAAAGTAGACTGTGATAGCAACTACTACCAGATTTGACAGCCCCAAATAGGAGAACAGCACCTATCCTGAGACAAGATGTCCTCAGCACAAGTGAAATCCCGTAACTAGCTGCAAATGAGGATGAGAGCATTAAATCAGATTTATACCTAGTCTGCACATAGCAAGCTTCATATGAAACCTCAAACTCAGCTCTGAAGGTTTAGAAAAAAAACATTACAGTGGATCGGAAATGCACCAGAACAGAGAAGTAATCCAGAGCCATTGCATGTTCAACTCAAATATTAATCCTCTGCTTTTTAACAATGAGGTGATGGCCTAGACATGACAGGGAGATAATAGGACTCAAGTTAGTGTTGTAACACAGGAGAATGAAAAAACAAACACTGAAGTGTCAGATGGGAAAAACTAAACTCTGCAGCTGACAGCAATTTGGGAGCCAAACAAAACCCAGGAATTTTGCAGAGTTGCACATTCTCCTCCCACTAAATTTGAGGAAGCACAGTGTATATTAGATGTTTGGAAAAACTGTTCTAATAAGCCAACATCCTTGCTGTCATTGCTAGTGTAGAACCTGGAGCCCAAGACATTCAAGACAAATGGAAACCTCCACAGCCTGCTGTGGGAGATTACACAGTGCTGTGCTATTTCTTTGCAGAACATTGTTGAGGTGCTTCACATACTGTGTAATTGATTTTCCAAGTAACTGTTCCATGAGTTTTGCTCTTAACATACTGGGTAACTGCTGGGCCAAGATAAATCTGCAAAAGCTGTTGGCACGTTTTGCTTAGATTTTTCTCCCCAAGCCTACAGAATTTAACAGATTTTCAGCCTTGCTTCCCAAGCACCATGAGACTCAGGCATTTTAGCAGTACCATTATCAAGGGAGTTCAGATTGCCAAGTAGGCAAAACAGGAGACTGAAACAAGTTACTTAAATAACCTCCCAGCTGGAAGGGAGTGTTCTAGCACAGAAAACAAATGCAAAACAAAACAAACAACAACAACATAAAACTACCAGAGGCAGCCTCAGTCACATTGCAACTTGAGACTGACAGAAAATGTCTACTTTGGTAAAGATGGACAAACCTCCAGCTAGGATACCAGACGAGAGGCTTCCTAAGACAGTAAGAGAGAAAAATCCCTCTGAACAGTTGAAACCACGAATGCTTGATTGTGAAGTTGCTCTGAGATCTTGTCTGCCATCAGGGCCTGGTGCACTCCAGTGACACAGGTGAAAAGTGCTCTCCAGCCTGCTCCTTTGTGAACATTCCCAACCAGCAAGCAGCAGGGGTGGATAACCCAACAGTTCCCTTTGCTACTTCCCTGTCCTATTCTAGGGCAGTGCAGAGTGCTACCATCTCCTGAAGTGGGAACATTTGCACAAACTTGGAGGCAAAAGATAGATTTTCAGAAACTGCCATAAGCCAGGTCTACATTGCAATCTTTTGCCACTCAGCAGTGGTGCTCTCTAGCTACGTAGCCGAGCCAGCAGGAACCCTTAGTATAGACAATTATGTCAGCAAACGGGTGCCTGTTAAGCCATAACTTGCTTCTCACAGGGAAAATGAGACAGAATGATGCCACAAGACTGCAATTTCTCTGGTGTAGTCAGCAAGCACACTAAGGTTTTTGCACTACAGCTATGCTATATTTTACCCGCTGTATGCTCATTGCAATTCTGGCTCTAAAAGACTTCATGCAATATGCAATATGCAATTCTGGCTCTAAAAGACTTCAGAATTATTGTCCTGTACAGGACATTTGTTTTTAAAAGCCTACCAGCCAGGCTTCTTCAACAGATAACTGCATCTAAGATCTGGGCTGCTCTTGTAAGGTCATGTATAACAGTTTTCTGCAATGGTAAAAAGAAAGCTTATACCATGTAATCTGAGGTAAAGAAAACAAACAAACAAGTTGAGCATTCCCTGTGCAACCATGATTGTCTAGGGAACTCTGAGCCAGTTAAAGTCACTGCACTATGTAAATGTTCCAGAGACATCAGCGCAACACAAAAGCCAATGCTCCAGAGGGGGATCTGCAACACCACGCACTTGGGCAATACTGAAATCTATGCCATGCTGCTATAAGGCTGAGTTGTATAACAAAGTATGCAGCCACATTAGACAAATTGAGTAATACTAGAAAAAGTAGTAAGTTGTTTTGAATTTAAGTCTTGCAATATTCAGAAAACCTACTGTTCTAGCTGGTTTTCAGATGAAGAAATTACTAATCAGTATGTCTCAGTCATACAGAGCATTTTGTCTAACCAGGCTACTGTAGCTGAAAGTTATGAAATTGCTAAAGTGAAGCAAATTACAGAAACCTGGCCTTGCTAAAAAGAATGATGCTCTGCAACCACTTCATCAAGTAAGGGAGCAAATTTCTAAGGTAGAATGGAAAAACTAATCAAACACTCATGATTAAAATGGACCAATTTTCTGACAAGTAAGAACTCAGGTTTGAAGTCTAACATAGCTCTAGTATTAGAAGGGAAGTGACAAGGGCTCAAATACAGAACTCACATAGCTGAATTACTATTCATTTAGATATTGTACTAGATCTGATATTATCCTTAAAGTATACCCTACACATATAACCCTTACAGTTACAGCTGTAAGACACCTGGGAGTAAAGCACAATATGGTGTTGCTGTAGATAAAGGAAATGTCATGATCCAGATCCTTTCTGTCCCAGAGATTACTGATTCTTATAGCTCTGTATCCTGCTGAGGGCTTTCAGGATAGGGTAGCCTCCCATTCTCATTATATTAAGGACCTGAAAATTCAACAAAGTTAATAAAATTTTAATACTTCATTACAGCTGAAGAATGTGAAAATTTCTAGTGCCTATTCAAACATTCTGCTAACATGGCAATGCCACTGCATAACAAAGACTTAATGTTCAAACAAGGGTTCAGCATATGCTGACAAGAGCTTTTAAAACAGAAATAAAAAAACCACCAACACTAGTCAAGCACCCATTATTTAATTTCAACCTGTTTTTTTTTTTTAACCTGTTGTTCCAGTTCTCGTCTTGCCTACTTCTGCTTAAGTTTAAGTATCCCTCATAGGATGAAATACCAGTACAGCTCAACTGCCTGAAGAACCCTACCAAAGCCTCTGCAGTTTCCCTCCATTCCTTCTCAGCTTTGATTTGGGAGGCTATGCCAGTACCCCCACGATATCACTTCTCTCATGCAGGCAACATAAAGCTCTTTCATCCAGATGTCCACACAAGTTGGGTGTAGCCCTCAGTTTAGCATCTTCTGTGGGTGTCTCTACACATAACAAGACTTGTGCATCTTCTTGCATAACACTGACATATACCCGAACCTAACTCCCTTGCAGCCACTAAAACCTCAGCATGTCTCTTTCCTTTTATGGAAGAAAGGTGTTAAGCTGCCATCAGTCCTCTCTAATGGATACAACTCCTGTTAAGTTCTCTAAAAATGTTTTGTAATATGCTTTTATTCAAGTATCCAGTTTTTGTGAGGAGATCCCCCAAAAAAGTCAAATACTCAACCCATTTCCTGTTCATAGAGAAATCATTAACTGCAGTTACACAGTACGATTTTTACTTTGGTAATACCTTTACTTCTCAAAATAACCAGGAAACATCTGGCCCCATAAACAAACCCACTGCACTCTAAGCTTGCAATGGGGAGAAGCTGCACGGGATATAGTACCATATGAAATGTAATACAACTCTTCTTTAAGCAGGAGCACTACAAGACAGAAACAGAGCCCTGAAATGAACAATACCTTAGCTTCTTCTGCCATTTTCTTGTCTTCATCAATCTCCTCAGCCTTGGCAATATAGTCCTCTCCTTGATGTTTCCTCCTCTTCTGCTTGGGGGCCATGAAGCCTTGCAGAAACTTCTTAATAACACCAGCTTGGAGTGCAATCACACACTCTCCAAAATCCTTCAAGCTCTCTAATGAGTATACCTGATAGAAAGAGCGTACAATCACTTAACATTTGAACATCACTCTCTGTGCTTTTTTAGGTGGTTTTGTCCTGCAAATGGATATGTAGGATACTTAATGCAGCATTGCTATTCCACTCTTGGTTATGGAATCAGCATATTACCACTGCTTCTGCTAGAGTTCACATACAGCATACACGCATTCACGTATAGAACATGAATGTTCGTTAGTTCAGAAAAAAGCATGATGCTTTGGGGTGTGTGGAGGGGAAGCAATTCTTCCATTCTTTTAAACCCTTCACTTTTCCCATCATTCACTTAACGTTGAAGGTCCCATACAGAAAAAGAAGTTTCTGCAGTGACTCAGAATGTAATTTAACAGATTATTAACCATTCCAAGATAGACACCGTCATCCTTTGGTACAGGAGCATGCAGTAGTTGTAAGACTGTGTATTCTACCTATACCCATGACAGGTTTATCAAGTCCTAAAGGCACACAACACACCAGAAATGCCTATGTGATTAAGGCCAAACATAGTAACTTCCTTGTGCTGACATACCCACCAACAGAATGTCCTTTAACTTCTGGAAGTGGAGCACAAACATTATCCCAAACCTAAAGTGGTCTGAATTTATGAAAATTGACAAAACAGAAAACAACTGTCTCAACAAAACATTCTGGCTCTGACACAGAAGCTAAAAAGCAGCTACAAAGAGCTCTGCTAAAGCTCCATAAAGAAGTCCTCCACCAGATGAGGGAAACAGGACAACTTCACAGCTGAGCAGGACACCTACCTTCAAAGTTATAATTCACCTACACCAAAAGGACCTCAAGCCAGTAGCTATGTAAACTTGAAACATCAGTTAAGAAAGAGAGAATACACAAGAAATTTGATTTTCCTGATCCTCTTTTTAAAGGAGAACCAAAGAGTCAAAACCTTCCAAAGATAGTATGAAGTCAGTCTTTCCTAGTACTACTTTGTTCACTCACTCTTGCTTCAAATTCTGGTGTCACATCAACATATCCCAGCCCTCCTTTCTGCAGACGAGTTGCGACCTCAATTAGATCACTTCGGAGGTAGTTCAATAGTTCCTGGTTGCCATCACAGGATTTGAGGCCCAGGTTCTGTTTCCGAGCCAAATGGATAGAATGTGTGATGTCCTGATACCTGGAAAATCAAGAAAAACCTTTGAATACATGCAGACCATTGTCTTGCAAGGGTGTAGGGGCATTCAGTGATCTACATGCTCCACCAGTGCAGAACGTTCTTTGAAAGATGCTTTAAAGCATGGGGCAGTTCTGCTTCTGTGGGTAAAACAGCACTGCCTTTGCTTCCAGTTGCAGGGAGCAACTTAAAGAGAGACCAACCTCTTTACAAATTTAAGCTTTGCTTATCAAGTAATATTTACAGTATCATCTAAGAAGGAACAATTTCTCAGAATCCTCCCCTCTTCAGCAGACACACAATCAAAGCAAAGTGCTGAATGCTGCCCCAGGAATTGAGAACTTGGTACAATAGTGATATGTTTTGACATTGAGAAGAGACACAGAAAAGAAACAATAAATAACCTTTTCTCCAAACGTTCCTTCAGCTGACTCTCTCTCACTCCTTGTGGGTGTAGGCAATCTAGCAGCTCATCCAAATCCTTCTGATTGTCACATAGAAACCTGAAAGATACATTACCTGATTTTGGTGCATGTTCTATCTCTGTGGCAACAATTCCTTCTTTTAAACAGTTCTCAAATATCAGTAGACAGGAATGACAATTAACTTATACCAAACCCCATGGAGTAAGGTGAAAAACTTCCAGTAATGCTGGCATAAGCATTCTAAGAGACCTCATTTCAAGGTTCCCAAATGTAGCTAATTCCAGAGCAACAAAAACAGTAACAAAAACACAAAACTGATTTGTAGAGTTTTTTTCCTGCATTAAGTTTATTCAAACATTGGCATCTGAATTTAGTCATCTACCCCAGGGATTAGATTCACTAAACTGCAGTCAGTTTAAGTCACCCAAATTACATTTTTGATGCACTAGGAAAGATTAACATGCTATGTACTGCATAGTATGACAATTTAATCATTCTTTCTGCAGAGCTTTCAACTTATGTCATTCACCCAAGAAGTCTCTAGAATGTCAGTTTATACCATGACTGCTGTTGTTACAGATTTGAGACAGTGAAGGCTATGCCCTCTGCAAGTGTAGACCTCCTTCCTAAGAAACCTGCATTAACTTGAAAGCTTTAATATAGCACGTGAAAACTATATTCATTAGCTTTAAACCTTTTTGCTCAGAAAGTCCCTCCGGAGGGCAATGTTACACTTATGCAGTTCTCTACACAAGGCATTTTCAGCAATTCCAGAGTACAACCAAAACACTAGTTTTAATGCTGGTTTGTAGATTTAAAATAGCTTTGAGACAACCTGAAACCCCGTGTCTTTTTTCTTTTTTTTCCCTTCAACACTTTTCTGTGATGTCATGGAGCCTTCTCACCTCAGACATGCATGTGTGCTGGACAGAGGTGGGAGAATTAGTATACAATCTGAGTTCCAAAGTGCATTTACAGAAAATATGGAAAATATGCATCTAATAGATGATCACTCCTTAAAACAGGGATCTAATGGAATAGCAAAGTCAACCTTAAATGGAATCAACTGCAAAGGATCACTATGTGATCCTTACCAAACACAGAGAAGACTCCAGTTCTAGTTTTTCTTCTTGGGCACAAGCTCAGACCAACCAAGCAACAACTAGAGAAGGATGCTGTCCTGGCTCTTGTAGAATAATAGTATCTGCAATAGTTTCTTTTTCTGGCAGAAATACTTACTAAATATTTTATCTGAAACACAAGTATTTTTGGAGTTCTAGCATGCTCACATTAGGGTAATGGCCTGACAACCTGCATTTCTTTGGTAAATTAATCACTCTAATAAAATAAAGGATTGATTGTTTAAAAATGGAAGAAAAATGGTTCCTTGCCAGTCATCTGCTTCAGTACACTCCAACCCTGCAAGGCATCCTCACTGTGCACAGAGATCAAATCTTTTGGCCACCCCTACCTTTTGCACACCCTCTCTACAAGAACCAGGACAGAGCAGGTCCAAATATCAAAGGTATTTCACCCACCGGAGCCTAGTGCATGCACTTCAAAAGCGTGAGCTTTTGGGCTGGTCATGGGATCCAACAGACATTCACACAAACTCTTAACAGCCCTAAGTCAAACAATGTAACTCCTGTCTTTTGCTAACAGATACCACTCATGGTAACACATTAGCATTCCAAGGTCTACCCAGAGACCACTGCAAAAACTAACATTTCTAACTCTACTGGACTTCATAGAGAAATTTCTCTAGAATATTTGATATCAAATCGCTTCCAAAACCTTGGGGAAAATGTCAAGATTAATCCTAAACCATATTTCAGTGTGAAGAACCTGTCACAGTATGGGAATGGCATAAACCAAGCTTCAAAACAGTTGTCCTGCAGATACCCAGCAGATTACTATTTCTCAGCATGTTGAGGTTGCCTAGGTCATGATGAAAAAGTATTGATTGCTGCAAGTGATACACCATGGGATCCAGTTAGAAAATACCTGAAAAGACACTACTGCCCAAGATTTCTCAGCTTTCCCTCAAGGGTACAAATCTAGGAGAATTCCCTGCACAGTTTTCTTCTCTAATGAAGATGGAAGGGCACTGGAAACAGTTAACATATGGCACTTAGATTCTCCAGTTACATGGTTTGGGGAAAGACAACACAGGCTGCTGGCCAGAGTGAGAAAGCAGATAACATCCTTCTAAGAAAGGTAGGAAGTGCTAAATCATAGCACAACTTTGTTTCTGATGAAAAGGAAACGGGACAGGAAAAGGAGATCATCTGCAACATGCACTTGAGCTTTCCCAGTCCTCCCTGTGAGTAAGAACTGGACTTCTAGGAGCAGGTACTCTTCTACATCAGGTTGAACTCAAATGCACATACTATAAACACATTAAAGAGGTACCTGTGTTTGTCTGGTGGTACCTTGCTGCTTTGTACAGCCCCAGCTCCTGATTCTCAAACCAACACCATACATTCCCTACCCCCTGAAGACACCACCTGCACCTCCAGCTAGGGCTCAACCAGCATGACTTTGGGAGCATGGACACGATAAAATAGGGCTAGCATTTTAACTGGGGGAGGCAACAAGGCTGTGAGACTGCGAGTCTTGATAAGAGGGAAGGGGAAGTAATTGGTGCCATTAATGTGGCTTTACACAGAGCTTATGCATAGTAACACAATCCAGAATAGACAGAAAGACATCTGTGGGAGAGTCAAGACCAGATGAAGGCCTTCAAACTGACCTGAAAGGGGGAAACCTGTCTGGGGTAATAGCTTCCTGCATCCCTAAGTAACAGCCGTGATTCTTTTCTTATGTATCTGGCAGAGCAAGCCACCAGACTGGTCAGCAATCATAACAGAAGGGACACAAGACACAAGTCAAAAGGAGCTATCAGTATTCATTCAGGTTGAATATTCCCGCATGTTCTCAGGCTACAGGCTGCAAGGGACAGAAAGAAAGGTATAAAATCTGGACTGCAGACTAGGGAATGAAGAAATCAAGAGGACAACATCTCGAGGAGCCCAGGATCAGTACCTGCTCTGGAGGGTTGGTAGAAACAGGGAAACTCCAACTGTAGAATATAGTCGTGAGAATGGAGTCTGTCAGCACCCACTCATGGTTAACTCAAATTGTCTGCTGAGGGGAGCCGCCATATCATGGTGTATTCCTAATAGATGAAGAACAACGGGAGTTACTCTGCAGAGATGCCACTATTTTTAAAATTCAACTCCTTTCTGACCAGGATGAGTGAGAAGTCTCCTGCACAGTAACATACTGCAAAGGTTTAAATTAAATTGAGTTTCTTGCAGGAAAGGCAGACGTGTACATTTCAAGGACCAATATGTCCAGAGGCTTTATAAGATTTTTCTTTTTTTAATAAGCATCTACATCAGTGAAAGTGGTGTACGATATGGTCCTGGTTCTTCCATCTGGATAAGACAGAAGCTAGACAAATAACCACACATTTATGATTCTGAATGAGAACAATGACTCACTTCTAGGATGGAACAGTGAGTATTCTTCTGGGGGCAAAGTACTGAAAGCAGAAACCACTTCCACGAGACACTGTTTCTACAGCTCTTGGTGGAAATATGGATTCTATTGCACCTTTTATCAATATCCTACAAGCTCCCAGCCTCAATGAGAAAAGGGGCAGGACTGATTTACAACCATTCATGGAGTTAATTTGGTTTTCATTCCAAAGACTCAATCTAAGTATAGCAGGGTAAAGCTAAAGGTATTTATTCTACATGAGGCTAAACTTAATCCCATTTTAGATATTCTACCACGAAAGAGACAGGTGACAGGAATTAAAGAAGAACACAAAGAAATGAAACTTCCTATGTACCACATGCTAACATTATGAATTCAAGATGAACCAGCCCTTGCATCCAAACAACAGGGCATGTAGGTATCCAAGGACTTCAGTATGGTTTGAGGTCTTCTCATGCTGTGCAAGGACAATGTGCAAAACGCAGCCAAGGAGGAGACAATTACCTAATCACCTATGCTCACGGGAGTCTTTGAGACAGGCAAGATTGATGATGGCAATCATCAGAGAGCAAAAATACTACTATAGTAGGAATATGGATTTCCTCAGAGGGAAGTTCTAGTTGCTGGCTATCCTCTGAAACAAGTGATCTCAGGCTGTCACCTTTTTTGGGGGAAGGTACGTCAGCTGATCGGAAGTAATTTCCCCCTTATTTCGAAAGAAAACCAAAACCAACCAACCAATCACAAACCACTGTCATTTGCTAGTTTGGTTTTCTGATCTGTTGTTTCTGCATCAAAAGATAGTACTTTCTTAAGGAGACTTCTCAATTCTCCTCTAGCACTACTCTCTATCTCCCTGTTGAACATACAAAGAGTATTTCTATAATCCTTATATGAACCATAGTGAGAATGTTTTCTTATTGTTGCTACTGTTCCACCCCGAAAGTTTTCTCAACCTTTTTTCACCCCAATGGTAAGAGTCAGCACCTAGTATGGAAACTTTAAGATGATGTTTTTGAAAGCATTCTAGGCTTTTAGCTGCCAGTTTAAGCTTTATAATAATCATTAAGCTTCTTAATTTTTGTTCTCTTTATAATACAAGAATGCTAGATCTAAGCATCCTGTGGTCAATTCTTACAAAGCCTCTCTTCAACAACACAATATAATTTAGTCCTGAGACTATACAGGAGCTGGTTCAAAAAAGCTGTTTCTCCTGGTTTGTATGACTAGTTACTCCATAAGACACTTGTACCTAAATCAGTCTTTCTCAGCATGTGAGTGAGAGTTGCCAACCTGATTAAGCAATTCAGCAGTGTAACTTCAAGTGCTATGCTTTTTCAAACACAGACTGGTTACAAATTATAGGGATTCTGTGTTACTTCGCTCATCTGATTTGGCTGTATGTTGTCTTCAATCCATAGCAACATGCACTAATAGTTAAAACTATGGTTATCCATTTATAATTCGTCCTTCTACTGGTAGGCATCTTGCCAACTCTGCTAAATGAATTAGTATTAGAAGAGGTAGTTAGAAGGAGCTGAAAGAACTTTCTTGTGGATCATACAATTTACGATCTTCTGTTTAGCACCTACACCCTAGGAATGCTCAATTTCTTGAACTTTGGCAATACGATGAGATGTGCCAAGGACTAGACTGAGAAAGGGGTGGAGATTCCCTATGGCAATGTTAGACAGAGTAAAGGCATGCAGAGGAAATTGCTGTCTCCTACACCTCCTTGTCAATGGAAGAGAAAGGATACAGCCATATCAGGAATCAGTGATTCACCTAAACCATCAGCATTGACCAAGATGTCCACTAATTTCAATCTCTTTGATAGTTCCTGATGGGAGAGCATGAACATGTAAAGTATAGTAAAGTATTGCTGACTTCAGTGGAACTACGCTTTGGAGCTAAACTCAAAACTAGTGGTATTTAGCAAAGATGAAGTAATCCCACTTTGTGAGTCAACAATGGAAAACTCCAGAGAAAAGCCACTGGTAACAGAGGAGCTGAAGGAACAAGTACTTTGTGAGAATTACTTCTCAGGCTTACCTAAAAACACCTTCACAGTCTTTCACAGGTAGTTTAAGTAGGTAAAGATGTAGCCAATTTCTCTTCTCTCATGGGAACACTGCTAATCACTCCTTACTACACAAGGCAAATGGTTGACAGATTTTCTTTAAAGACCTTACTAGAGCCAATCACTGGATTAAGTCACAATCAAAGGCAAACTGTTTAGATTTGATTCACTTGGAAGACATGTTGGTAGCTATTGCTTGGCACTGGGAATTATTACAGGGAAAACAGACTGTTCACATGTAATAATAGTTTCGCTAAGCTAAAACAATCATCAGTAGCAACAAAAACAAAAAATCAATTCCATGATATGGTGCTATTGGAGAACAAATGGATTCCACCAACATGCTATGCTGGTGGAAAGCAAGAAAGCTAACACTGAAACAGAACTGAGGAATGACTCCACATTGCAGTGACTCCACATCGCAGTGCAAGAACATGCAGGATGTCTGGCTCCAAACATATCAATGAAAACTAATTTCACATGCTCGAGGACCCCATGTACTACAATTCAGGTCAGCTGAGACAAGCCATGAAAGAAAACCTGGACAGTTAGACAGGTCACTGCTCCCCCAGCTTTTTCAGAATACCACAGCAAATCTTTTCAATTAACAATTCTTCTGATTATAAAATATATAAAATCAGTACATCAGTGGTGTTTTACTAGGTTAATCTATACTGGCTCTAAATAACATTGATTAGAATGGTTCTACTGCCTCTTGGATCAGGTGCTCTATTAGCCATTTGCTACTAGCAACAGAGGCCTGACAGTCTGATAAACTCATTCGACTGTTAAGTACTGAAAAAACATTAGGTATATAGGAGCTATTAAATGACATCTTTTTAGTTTCCTTGACCTTTATATTTTAATTACTTTACAGATATACAGCACGTATTACCATAAGTTCTGTCCCTGCTTGGGCGCTGTGGTCTCTGCAGGAAGGTCCACAGCATGTACAGACCGATGAAGTGCACTCCCTCTGCCGTCTGTGGCTGTGCTCTTCCGCTTGTCTATAAAAGAAGAGCACAAGCTCAAATGTATTCTCATTCATGCTTCTCCTCAGACATGAATTTTATTTTTCAAAAACTAACCTAACTTTAGTTAAGTATTTATGCTCAGCACCTAGTCTAGCAGTACATTTTCCAGAGAAAACTACTCCAGCACTAGTTTGCTAAAGCTCACAATATAAGCATTTGTAGAAATACAGATAAATAAAGAAAATATTATTGAATCATTAAGCATGCATGCAGAATTATAAAAAAACATTCCTACTATTTCAAATATGTACTGGTTTCACTCTTTAGCTATACACTGACAACATACTTTTAAATTTGAAGGTGATACAAATAGGATGCATTTATATTTCTGAGCATCTTACCCCAACAGTCTGATATGAATTTAACACTTTGCTCATTAAGTTTCAAATGGAAAGTGTGAAAAATCTTTGCATAATAGCTCAGTAAATACATAGGCAATACTTGATAAACTAATACAGCTGGAAGCAAGGTGGTATACAGGAACATTGGCAGATCAATATTTGAACAAATTCACATAAGAAAATAAACCCATTGAGCATCACTGAACGATACAACTTCTAACACAACTCATCAAGATGCAGGAGGCTGGAAAGTTACACTGGATGAACTATCACTGTATGTTTGCCTTGTTTTATTACAGATGTCTACTCTGACCAATGTGTAAGACAGGATACCACCAAAGAAGGGCTCTCTGATTTAATTCAGTATAACCTGTTGCACATAGTATTGCTGTAGATGAACTCAATGACAGCCTATGTTTCAAATGCAACAAATTATCAGGACTGAAACTGCAACTATTCTTAGACTACAGTATGCTCTTCTGTACCACAAACACATAACGTTATGCTTCACCCCCCCACACAGAAGAATTTTTGAGCATGTCCAAATTTTGCCTGCAATGCTCAGCTACCCAGGCTTGAAGTCACCAAGGCAAAACTGGTGACTAGGAGAGAATAGGAGAGAAAGCACTGGAACTTCAGTTTATCATTGCCCCTCATCAGCACATTCAGAACAAGGTGAACAGCAGGCTGAGAGGGCATGTGAGAGGGACTCTTTGCCAAAATGTCCTCAGTCAGTGAGGTATACGCATCCAGACACCTGCTCTGCTTGACGTTATTGCAGTAGAGTATGTGTGAAAGTGCTGAACAGGCCTATGGTGAGAAGTTTGGCTCATTGCTCCTCCAGATAAACAGCATGTTTGTCCTCTGTGAGGAGAAAAGTAATCTGGAAGTTGTGCCACTGGTGGCGCATTAGCATGGTGCTATTAGCATTAGCATTAGATGGCTATCCTCACTCCCTGCAACAGGCTATCAACTACTTGTCCGAGAAGTTTGGTACACTGTAACCCAACAGGTACAGAGTAAAACAGTATGGTTACTACACAGTTGACATCAACTGCTTTTAAAAGATAGGTGATCATATCCCATGGTCCTTACATGGTACAGTGCAGACAGTCTCAAGATCTGCAGCAGTAGCAGGAAATCATGATGAATGAACTCTCCCATGCGCAGGTTTTCTGAGTTCACAGTAAGTTTAGATCAGAGGAAGCCCACAAAGACACTGAGACTAGCCAGTTCTCTCTCAAGTTGACAAACCCATCCTAACGATTAGACAGCAACAAACGAAACACCCAAAGAGAAGCCAGATGACCATACCTCCTTGGCCGTAGTCCTTCTTTACTTCTTCTTTTTTCTGATGGGGAAGGATGAATCTGTAGTCTATACTGTCATGCACCCAGCCTTTCTCAATGAACAAGCCAGGAACCTCATCCGAAAACAGCCAATACCTGCAGGGCATGGCACACATACATGTTAACAGGTACCTGTCCCCTTTTTTGGCTGCATTTACACACATCCATCTTTATATGCACAAGGAGGAGAGCATGTGTGTCCTCGACTCAAAAGAAACTGAGAAAATCTTTAAGAGCACAGAAATCTTTGAGAAACTAGAAGAGCTTTTATTAAAATCCATTCTAGCAGCCTTTCAGTGTAACAAACAGGAAGAAGGGAAGATCGTAACTAGATTCTTGAGCACTTGAAGTTCTGCTGGCCAGTGGATTGTAACCTCCACAGTCAGCTTTTTCCTTTCATATGGAAACAAGTGAAAACTGGTACACTTTATATACACAAAAACTAATTTCTGCTCTCCTTCACAGTCCAATGCAGAGAATACTCTCAATATGATACTCCATACCTATCAATTATTTGGAGCTACTATCTGCTAAAGCTACTGTCAAAGGGAACAGCCAGCAGCATGGAATCATTTCTTTTCCTACCTGTTATGATTACGGTCAGTGCCAATTGGGGTCCTGCGCATCACAAGCTTCGCCTTAGCAATTCCATCCTGGAATGTTTTCTCAGCTGCAGCTTTATGCTTCCGGATTCTTTCTTCCTCTGCTTCTTTCTCCATCCTCACTGTTGGAATTAGCATGTAGAAGTATTAGCATTCTTTTACTGTATTTAGACATCAATACTTTCTTTTATTTTACTAGGTCAGGTGGGAAAAAATAATTTATTGGTGACTTTGCTTAATATTCTTTTAATGCAGCCAGCCACCTTTCATACAATCTTCCACTATCCTTGCTAGAAAAAAAAAACAAAAAAACACAAAACAAACAAACAAAAAACAACAAATCAAAAGTTATCAAGAAGTTGAGGCATAAGGATGAACCAGCTTTTGGAAAGAGGAAAGTTTGGATAAGAATAGATCGGAGAAAGTATTCATTACTTTTCCTCATAATAGATTACTGAAGTGGCATTTGCTGCTGTGCAACTCCACATAACAAAGACCTTTCTTTAATTACAGCAGAATGTACAATAACGAATTCTGCTCTAGCAAGCTCAAACATTGGGAGCAGCGCAGCAACAACATGACTCAAGTCAGCATGGCTAACAGACATCTGCATCTCCATGACTGTAGCTATGAAGAATGGTCACCCAACAAGCTGACCTACTGAACAAACAGATCTGGCACAACAGAAGCCTCTTCCAGGCACCAACATCTCACAACAGTGACTTAGTCATGTCTCCTAACCATCTCATTCTTTTCCAGATATGCTATGACGTGGAAGAGCATTAAAACAGAAACCTCAGGTTTCTCCCCTCATGGCAGAAGTACTACAATCTCAGTAACTCTTAATAAGCTTTTTTTTTTTTTGTCAACAGAAAATGAAAAACTCAACAACCCTGAAATGGCCTAAATCCTGGCATCACAGGCTCCTTGGGAGAGTCTTACAGACAAAACACATTATTTCATATCTCTAGGTAATGAACAAGAAGAAACACAGCTATTGCCAAGAGTCAAAACGTTAAGGTCAAGGAGATTTATGTTTCTTTTGATAGTTCAAAATTCTCTCAAACAACAGGTATACTTCCACAACGAAGCAGGTGTAACAAGACCATATGGAAAGGGTGAGCTGGAAAGGGGCAGATAAAAACCAGAACAGAGAGGTTGCATGCTGGTTGTTAGCTCAAGGAAAAAGCTGACTTCTTGCTAGGAAACCTTGCTAGGAAGCAGCCCTTTTCCCAGGACTGTTACCTACTCTCTCTTGCAGCCATTTTCTGTATCAAGATAGATTTGATAACAGTTGATGAGTAAATACCTGGACCGTCTCTGAAGTCCTGCCAACGTAATCAATCCTGAGTGATTAGAGGAAACATGCTGAAAAACACACCCTTGCATTTGTTACACCAACTCAGTTGATCGGTTTTTATATAATAAAAACAACTATATAATAAAACTAACTCTTGGCAGTCTGTGAGATCGTGCACCTACCAGTGTCCACTAGGCATAGAGATCACTCCAAAAAAGTTTGTGACAACCCAGATGGAGGGCCTGCCAGAGACTTGGAAGTTCAGGCCTCTGGCTGCAGCGAGTGCCTGCCGCTGCTGTGGGAGGGCATCAGGGAGATGGCCTGTTCTCAGGGGGAAGGTCTGCTCACCATAGTGGCTGACCTCAAGGAAGAGGTAGAGAGACTGATGAGCATCATGGAGAGTATGAAGGAGATTGCCTGGTGGAGTAACTCCCTGTTGTGCCAGAGAGAAGAGCACTGGGGGAATGCCCCCCAGAGGCCAGTGGAGCCCCCACCCTGTCAGGCAGAGGGAGAAGACCAAAAAGACAGAAGGGCTGGAAGCGAGTCCCAGTTCAGTGCCACAGGCAACCCCCTCCCTACCTACCTCGCTTCCCCAGGTGCCCCTCTGTAATAGGTTTGAGGCCCTTGATCTTGAAGAAGAGGTAGGCAAGGACATGGTAGAAGGCCCACCTATGAGGACATGTAGAAAGAGGCAGTTGACACCATGCCTCAAGACCAAGACTAGCTCCAAAAAGAAAGAAAGAAGGGTAATCGTAGTAGGAGATTCACTTCTGAGAGGAACAGAGGGACCAACATGCAGAGTTGACCCTTATCATAGAATCATTAAGGTTTGAAAAGACCTTCCAGATCATCTGGTCCAACCATCAACCTACCACCAATGTCACCCACTAAACCATGTCCCTAAGCACCACATCCAACCTTTCCTTGAACACCCCCAGGGACGGTGACTCTACAACCTCCCTGGGCAACCCGTCTATCATAGGGAAGTCTGCAGTCTACCTGGAGCCCAGATCATGGATATTACCAGGACATTCCCCAACCTGGTGTACTCCACAGACTACTACCCACTACTGATCTTCCAGACAGGTTGGGAGGAAGCTGTGTCCTGTAGTCTGAGGGGAATGAAGAAAGAGTTCAAGGCCTTGGGATGGTTGGTGAAAGAGTCCTGCTTAGAAAGAAAGGCCAGCAAGGTGAGGTGGTGGAGTTGCTCTTTACATAAGAGAGCAACTACATTGTATTGAGTACTGTGCAGGGGCGGATGAGGAGTGAGTTGAGAGTCTGTGGGTGAGAATTAAAGGACAAGCTGGCACAGGCGATACTGTTGTCTGTTGTGGGTGTCTATTACAGGCTACCAGATGAGGAAGGTGATGAGGCCTTCTACAGGCAGCTGATAGCAGCCTCACAATCACAGGCCCTGGTTGTCATGGGGGATTTCAGCTACCCTGACATTTGCTGGAAGGCCTACTCAGCCGGCCATCCACCATCCAGGAGGTTCTTTCACTGTATCAATGATAATTTCCTGATGCAAACGGCAGATGTGCCAACTAGGAGATGAGCACTGCTGGATCTTGTCCTCACTAACAAGGAGGGGCTGGTTGAAGCAGTGAAGGTTGAGGGCAGCCTTGGTTGCAGCAACCACAAGATGGTGCAGTTCAGGATCTCATGTGGCAGGAATAGAATACCAAGCAGAATCACAACCCTGGACTTCAGTAGGGCCTTTTCGAGCAGTTGGTATGGGAAATCCCATGAGACAAGGTACTTGAAGGTACCAGGACCCAAGATAGTTGGTTAGCATTCAAGGACTGCTTCTTCCGAGGAGGAGTTTGCCTTGGTTGATGAGGACTGGGTTAAGGACAAATTAAGCAAGCCAGACATCCATGAATCCATGGGTCCTGATGGGATGCACCAACAGGTGCTGAGGGAGCTGGCTGAAGTCATTGCTAGGCCACTCCTCCATCATCTTTGGTAAGTTGTGGGAAATAGGAGAGGTGCCTGAGAACTGGAGGAAAGCAAATGTCACTCTGGTCTTCAAAAAGGACAAGAAGGATCCAGGTAACTACAGACTGGTCAGCCTCACCTCCATCCCTGGAAAGATGATGGAACAACTCATCCTTGGCGTTGTCTCTAGGCATATTAAGGATAAAAGGGTCATTGGGGGCAGTCAACATAGCTTTATCAAGGGCAAGTCGTACTTGACCAACCTGATAATCTTTTATGAAGAGTAACCACGTGGATAGATGATGGTAAAGCAGTGGACATGGTCTATCTTGATTTCAGTAAAGCATGTGATACCGTCTCCCACAGCGACCTCACAGCTAAACTGACTATATGCTATCTGGATGATCAGGTAGTAAGGGGGACTGCGAACTGCTTGAAAGAAAGAAGCCAAAGAGTTGTGGTCAATGGGATGGAGTCTAGTCTGTATCCCTCAAGGGTCAGTACTGGGACCAGTGCTACTCAATATATTCATCAATGACTTGGATGAGGGACTGGAGTGCACTGTCAGCAAGTTTGCTAATGACACTAAACTGGAAGGAGTGGCTGACATGCTGGAAGGCTGTGCTGCCATCCAGCAGGACAGACAGGTTGGAGAGTTGGGCAGGGAGAAATTTAATGAAGTCTAATGAGGGGAAGTGTAGAGCCCCACATCTGGGCAAGAACAACCCCAGAAACCAGTATAAGTTGGGGACTGCCCTGCTGGAAAGCAGTGAAGGGGGAATGGCACCTGGGGGTCCTGGTGGACTGCCAGATGACCATAAGCCTGCACTATGCCCTTGTGGCCAAGAAGGCCAGTAGCATCCTGGGGTGTATCAGAAGGGCTGTGATTAGTAGGTTGAGAGAAGTTCTCCTCCCCCTCTACTCTGCCCTGATGAGACTACATCTGGAAAATTGTGTCCAGTTCTGGGCCCTTCAGTTGAAGAAGGGCAGCGAACTCCTTGAGAGCAGCACAGAGACACAAGGATGATTAAGGGAGTGGAACATCTCCCTTAGGAGGAAAGGCTGAGGGAGCTGGGTCTCTTTACCTTGGAGGAGACTGAGGGGTGACCTTATTAATGTTTATAAATACATAAAGGGGGAGTGTCAGGAGGATGGAGCCAGGCTCTTCTAGGTGACATCCAGTCGTAGGACAAGGGGCAATGGATGCAAGCTGGAACACAGGAGGTTCTGCTTAAATATGAGACGAAACTTTTTCATGGTGAAGGGGACAGAGCACTGGAACAGTCTGCCCAGGGGGGTTGTGGAGTCTCCTTCTCTGAAGACTTTAGAAACCCACCTGGACATGTTCTTGTGTGACATGATATAGGTGTTCCTGCTCCGGCAGGGGGATCGGACCAGGTGATCTTTCAAGGTCCCTTCCAATCCCTAATGTTCTGTGAAAATCAAATTAAAGGGCTCCACAAATTTTAATTTGTGATCGCAAGCTAGTTTCTGTCCTTTCATCTCTAGCAGGCTTTGTTAGCTGTGTAAAATTCCAGCTCTCCATTCTCCTTCAACAGACTGTACAGGAGATATTGCTTTATCATGTAGTGATAAAGTAAAAAACAATTAGTGCTGGGGTAACATGGAAATGGAAGTGACTTGACTTCTACTATCAAGAAAGTACAGATATTAATCACATTATCAATACAAGAAGTTATGTATTGACTTATTTTAAGCAAAGGAAGAACAAAAATATATTTATGCTTTTTTACACTAGTGCTTTTTTAAAGCTGAGAATATCTTGGTAATACTGGCCACAATCTTCATAGGCTTAACTTGAAAGTAGTTAGCACTCAGTTTTATGGATGTGAGTGGTGACAAAGACACCTCTGACTGCAATACATACACACCCACCCACCAGCTAAACCACTGCACTGTAGGTGTTGTCTCAACTGCTCTTTTACTTTCCCCAGAGATATTATCATTACTAAAAAGTAAATGCAGCTGAAATGGTGCAAAAGCTGATACACTCACACAGGCCACAAAAAGCCACAAGAGACAGCTCTCACTGTGGTTATCAGGATTTGTTTTTCCACAAACTGTAATTGCACCAGCCCCCAAGTCTGAAGTCCTTACGGGTTAGCTCAGAGCTGCTAGCTTTGCAGCCCAAACTAGGGCTGCATCAACATAAACCAAGATCTTTGGTACTTTGATGGTACCTTAATGCCTGATTAGCAACTGCTTAACAGATAAAATGTTAGGGTTTGTTGTGTGGAAATTAAGCAATAGGAATTCAAACCTTAATGAAAGGCTGAATCCTTCCTTCCTTGTCTGCCAGAAAAAAAAAGTTTGCTCATAGAAAAGAGAATATTCAGAATGTCCATGATCTGGGCAAAAGAGTTCAAGCCAGAGCAGTGAAATTCCTCACACTTAATATTAACAAGAGGCTCCTAGACAGAAACTAATATGTGGTAGAAGCTGTACAAGATGTAGCACAAGCGAGCAAGCATCTACTGAATTATCTGCTGACTTCCCTTTAAAGAAGTCATGTGAACAGTTACCTCATTTTATCTTTATTACTGAGACCGATTGATTCTGTTGAAATTATTATACTTCTAAGACTTACATCACTTAGAAGATCTGAAAAGTCTAATTACTTTCAATGCAAGGCACGGTTGTATCTAGTAGGATACTTCCTTAGGAGCCTCAGGTTATTCTGTTATTCATCTATTCTTGTCTGCCTAGGACAAATACTCACAGATTCTAGCTAAGTCATGTAAGTCAAGCTCCATGCAAAATCTTTGTCCCTCAGCTGTCTGAGGGTCTGTCTAATAATATAGACTGCCTATGCTGTTTACTTCCATCTGCCCTTTACCCACATTTACAAATCAAAAAAGCCATATCCTGAGGTGCAATTCCATTAGTGTTCCATAATCAGTACACCTTAGCATACACATTCAGTACACCACTACATACACAGAGATATTCAAAGTTTGGTATTGCAACTGATGATCTACAGCGGTTTTCAGTTAATGGTTTGTATTTATACAACTCCATAACTAATTCTTTAAAGTGAAAAAAATGTAAACTGAAATTTGTTACTCATGTCCCAGGAGAAGCCTGCTAGCATCAACTTAACAATGTGCAGAGCAGCAGGGCCAGCAGAATTGTGGGAACTAGCTTTTAGGCAGGAAACATCTCCTAGTATATATAACATAGCATATATGTTATATATAACATAACCTGAGTCAGAAGCTGCTTGAACATGGACATATACCTTTTTTTGTTTTCTGCCCCCAAAGCAGTTTCTGTACTCCATCCTTCCCTAGCCTGACAGAATTAGAAAGGTACTATTCAGAAGATACACAAAGACAGAATACTAAAAACAACTATTACTTTTTAACATTCCAGATTTTGAGCCACCATACAAACACCTATAACTTCTCCCAACATGTCAGTAATAAAGTCCTACAGTAGCTGAACTATACTTTTGTAAGCTAATCTCTTAAAAGCAGCTAATGCTTTTGGAAACAGACTGATGATTTTGCCACTAATTTATTCTCCCCTACTCCACAACACACAAATGCTCTACTCTCTCCTCTATTTTTCTTACCTCTCATTTGTCTTTCTTGTTGCTCTCTCTCTTTCTTGGCTTGGATGGCAAGAAGGCGTCTGCTTTTCACAGCACTTATCATATCATCAGCTTCTATTTCTACCCGATGCTCTATTTTTACCATTTCATTTTTTTTCTTTTCATTTCTTCCCAGTGCATTCTCATCTTTCCCATTCTCCTTGCTTTTGGCCACCATTTCTTTCCGTTTCTGTTTTTCTGCTCTCTTCTTGTCATTTTCTTCCTTCAAGATAGCTAAGCGCTCCTTCCACAGCTCTGCTGACGTCTGCTGCTTGGCCTCCACATGGTCCTGCACTGAATAAGTCATTAGAATCCGGTGGCAGAGAGCTCCAAGTATCTGTAATTTCTCTTCAGGAGTCAACTCAAAGAACTCAGAAGTCTCCAGCTTCTCCAAAAATTCATCCTGTACTTCATTATCCTCAAAAGTTGCCGAATCCTTGCTTTCATCTACATTATCTGAGACCTCACTTTCCTCTTGTACATCTGACTTGCGTAAGCAAAGGCGAACCAGCTCAGATGCAGAATGCAACGTAAGCGGTATTTCAGAAAGCTTCATTCCCAGCTCAGCATAATCTTCAGCAATTTCATCCTGCAGTAGGGTCTGTAGAAGAATGACCAGTACCCGGTTCAAATAAAGGAAGCCTCCCTTTTCTGCGCAAAGCGCTTCCATCAGGGAAACTGCTGTAATGGGATATTGAGCATCTGGCATCAATAAACCTGAGTAACAGCTCAAGAATTCCACCACCATAGCAACATCCCCAAAGAGTGTATTAGGAAGTCCTTCTGGAGTATCAACCAGCTTAAAAGTGGGCAAGTTCTTCCCTTTGAGATCTTGGTCCTCAAATCTTTTCTGCTTTTCCAGTTTTTCCTTCATCTCCTTCTCTTTCCGCTCTTTTGCTCTCTCCTTCAGTTTCTCTTTCAGCTTTTCTCTTTTCTTCTTCAGATACTCCTTGCGCTGCTCTTCTGTCATGGTGGCCCATTTCTTCCTGTGTTCTAGAAGCTCATAGCGTTTCTGTACTAGTCCTCGTAAATCCTCAGGGAGACGGGCACGATCCTCATTTGAGAGTAACCTGGCTGTTTTGGAGATGATACAGGAAAGTGCACTTTTTTTGTCTTCCCGGTCTTTGTTTTCTTTGTAATAGGCAATGAGATGGAGTGCTGCAGGAGGCAGATGCTTCTGGGGTTTCCCTGAAGACCTAGGGGTGCCTCCAGAATTCCTGGGAGCCCTGGACATCTTAGTAGTACCTTTAGCCATGTCTAGGAGCGTCATTTGCTTCATTTTCATCTTAGGGGTCTTCAAACCTTTCCTAGGAGACTTTGATTTCCCTGATGTTTTCTGCCCATTTAAAACCCTTTTGCCTCTCTGCTTTTTGTCCAAGGATTTGTTGCTGCCCTTTCCCAGTCGGCTCCTCTTTGGAATGTGAAAGTTAGAACCAAGTTTACCAGGTGACATGATTTTCATCACCTCTTCCAACTCCTCTTTGGGACATTTTGAGTTCTTAGAATTTTTCACCTTCAGTGGAGAGCCAATAATAGATTTCTCCAGGTGCACATGACACCACAGAGTAGGGCTCAGTGGCTGACCCAGAGATGTACCATCAGTTTTGGATTTCTTTGAAGGTTTTCTGTCAGGTGATCCAGAGCTCTTCCTCTTGGTTGAGGTGTTGAGTGTCATATACTAAAATTAAAGATTTTATATTAATATTTCAAGGTATGTAAAGGCCATCTAGATTTGTTACATTTTTCCCTTCCATGAACAAGTAGCACTCAATATTTTAATGGTAACGAAGACTTCTGCAGTAGCTTTCAATAGGCTTCATTCACTAGGTTGCTTATGAGGTTATTAGCTCATTCCAGAAAGTTACAATTTGACTTCATAAAATGTAATACTAAAAAAAGTATTTTCAATATTTCTTACTGCATTGCATTAAACCACTGTGTTTCTACTTAAAAGGTTGTGGGGAGGTTTTTTTGGGAAATGCTGACAATTTCAAAGAACTATTCCTCTGCTCAAAGAGATTTCTTAGCAGGTCCTGTAGGATTCAGTCCTGGACCCCACCCATGTCTCCATCCAGATGGAAACTGACGGAGCACAGATGTGATAGGCAACAGAAATTCAGAGACTTGTCTCTGAACTGCCTGAAAGTTTCAAGATCTGTATTTTCATTGCTTTTTAAATATGAGGTCTGTAATGAAAGCAAGAAGAAAGAAAGAATTCTGATTTAATGTAATTGAATATCTGATTGTTTTTAAGCTTTTGAAATGACCTACCTGACAGCATACTTTTCACATAGAACAGTTTAACATAAAGCCAAACAGACTGATTTCAGCATCTCAATTCAGTTTCAGGAATCAGAATACCAACTCATTTGAAGAAGTGAAAAAGATGTAAGACACTTATAAGAATATTACCTTTAAGATATGGATAAAATTATCAGAAAACAGAAGCTGAAAAGTTAGAATTACTCAGCAAGAAAAAGAATTCTGCAGTGGTAAGCACAGCTAAAGATGCAAGCACCTAAGAAGTATTTACGTAAGAACAGATGTGATCAAGTTAATCCTGCCAAAGAAAATCAGATTTGCTGGCCTCTGAATGTTCTCTTGAATGTCTTATGCCAATTTAAGTCCTCATTAGCTGTTTAGAGATTTTTTTTTTTTTACTGAAGACAGCACCCAAGCTGAATCCAGCATCTGCATTACTTCATTCTACAAAAATTGTGTTTAATTCTCTGCTGAAGAGAATTACTTAATCTGAAAGCAACCAATATTAATTGGAATTATCATAATTACAAACAAATATTAATATACAGTATATGTTGTAAATCTAAACTGTCACTTATACGAAGTTATTTTGCTAGAACACTGACTTTGGATTAATAAATTCTCCAATCACTTCTTGGTGTTTAAAATTCAATGTAAATTCAATCTCTACGCCAAGGGGAAAAACTACACAAAGTGCCATCCTTAAACACAAAGCTAAGGAATTCTGTAAGTCACACAGATATTACAGTTGTGTATTTTTCCTTATACCAAAAATATGCCTCTATCAGTGTGCTCAGTAGAAGACTGTAGGCCATCAGCAAGCGTTTTAATTTCTAGCAAGACAGTGACCTGAAATCTGTGAGCTTTATTTACCCTTGCTGCAATACGAGTAATTTATTTTTCTCTTTAAGCACATTTACAGCATTTTAAAAGAGCCCACAGCTTGCTGGAAAAGGGCAGTGTCCTCCTGATAAGGAAGAAAAATATAGCAAATGTTTCTGGTTCTGTTTTAGAATAAAGCTTGATGAAGACTGAGTCCATGAACAAGTGAATTTACTAGAACAATAATTAGTGTTTTCTACACCAAAGGTAAACAGAAGATTTCGTGATACTGCATTTACTTAGCTAACAGTAGATTTGGCTAGTCATTACAGTGGACTGGAAAAGAAAAACACAAAAATACTCAGTATTCAGTACAAGATTTGAGATGTGCCATTTCTCAGTCCAGCACCATAAAAAACACTAAGTACCAAGTAAAACATATTCAGCTCTTCCACTGTAATTAAGAAAATTGGGCAATAATTCATATTTACCAGGTAAGGAATATAGCTCTTCTGTTTGTCTTAGACCAGGAATCTTGTCACTACTTACACAAGACAAGTAATGCAAATTGTTGCTGAAAGAGTTAGGAAAAGTCAAGTCACAGTACATAACTCAAATTTTCAATGTGAACCATTGTTTCAGAAATTCAAGCTGTGTCACCTTAGGGATAAAAGGTTAACGATCAAAAGAGCAGATGTTCCTGCTCTGCATGTCTCTAGGAGCACCAAAAGCAAACCGGCACACTGAAGTCTTGGCCAGGACCACTTTCTCACTCATTCCCCACCCTTAAACACAGGAGATACTTTCAGGAATTCTTACCTTATGTGGGTCAAGCAAGAAGTCACTAAATTTACTGGGGAGAGAATATTTCTTCACTAAGTCATCCTCTACTACCCATGGGGCATTCTCGCCTGTGCCAGCCCGTAAAGCATTATGCCGGATGAAGTACCTCAGGATCTCCTTGTTGGGAGGACGTTCTGTACGGACTAAGCTATCTGCTGGTACGTTGCTAATGATCTTGGAGATAAAGAGACAGAACGTTAACGTTAAACTTCTAGACACATTATATATATAGATTTAGTCATATCACTAAAAGGAGTGTAGGCTGTTACACTGCTTCACATCCACAAACTCTCCACTCCACTCTTTTGAAACTCTTACAAATATTCAAAACAAAACAGACAGAACTTGCAGAACTGAGATGCATAGTAGAGATTGAGGATTCAGTTAGACAAAAAGCATCAAAAACATTAGTTTGTTTCATACTTCTTGCCAAAGCCCATCACTTTACTTGGCAGCAATGAAAGTCTCTGACCTCCCCCAGCATGTAGCATGTGCTTGCTACTAACTTAGAAGCTTTTACATGTGAGTGTTTATTTTGTTTTGATTTTTTTCCTGATACCAGAGGAATATGTCTGCAAGCAGTACTCACTGAGGTCAGCCTTGCCTCTCTGTCAAATTAGCAAAGTGATGACAAAGCACTCAGCAGTGCTGCAGCTGCACAAAGCTTCCTGAAGTGCAGGATGCTCAAAGAGGTACAGCCAGAGAAAAGCAGCAACTCCCACTCAATTATCAGTAGCCTACCTCTCACCAAGTTTCATTAACAGCCTGACCAGAGATCAGCTAGTCAACAGCAATGATTCAAAACTAATGAAGCACTGTGACTCAGCTTCCCTGTGTGGTACCAGGGGATTGTCAGGTGCCTCCATGCACAAAATGAAATTACATATAGCAACAGTGAGGCTAGTCAGCCTTGCTGAAAACCACAGCCATCTTGCTTCCAATACCTCTATTCCATCAGGAAGTACTACTACATTGTGCTGTGTACACATAATGGTTATTTAATTCAGCTTGCATGTTCACTGTGTAACAAAAGATTCAAGCAGTCATCTCACCTTGTCTTCATTTTTCAGCTTGACATCATATTTGTGTGGCAGGAATTTAGGTGGAACCCACTTCCTTTCCTCCTTCTTCAAAGAAGTGGGAAGCTTCCGAGGAGACCTACGTGCTCGATCATCTGACAAAAAAAAGACAAGACATTAAGTGTCTTAGAATTAGATAAAAACAAGAATCAAGATCATAACTGGGACTGGACACCCCCCACATCACCCATACAGTGTTTGGATAAATACAGCATAAGGAAAAAAATCCCCAACTGGTTTCTAGACACATCCTGAAGACACAGGCTGGGAAAGAAGTCCTTAAACAGGTCTGAAAGAGAAGACAACAAGCTTCTTCAAGCACCTTAATCACTTGAATGTTTTTAATGCATCTCTTTACAGAAGGCAAGCTGCAACTACCTACAGGGAGGGAGAGGAGTTTTATGAAGCTTACAAAGAAAAGATAAGCTTCATAATGTAAGGAGCAATCTTAGCAAGTTGCGGCTGAGAGCCCTAGTTGCATCTGCCATGCCACATTTGAAATAATTTTCCTGCAGGAATTACCAACTTCCCAACTTCAAATTGAAGCAATTTTTAGTACCATTTCATTTTCATAGCCATTAAGTGACTTCCAGTTATATATATGCTCCTGTGCATAAAATCTTCAGCTAAACTAGCTTATAAGTATATTTATACAACTATATATTTTTTTTAATTCTCAAGACAGACATGACTGAAGGAATACAAAGAAATCAAATCTCCTTGCAAAGACAAAATCCAAGCTTACTGAAAAAAGCAATCCCCAAATGTTTTTGTGGTTATGACTCAAAGAAAACCCTAAAGCAAGCATGATAGAGGAGAAAAATTATTTATTAATTATACATAGAATACAAGTTGTAGATTCCTAGATATAGAGTTAGATTTTTTAAATTTGTATATTGTTGTAATATTATTAAGCCCTACAGCATTTGAACTCCAGCAACATTATAGTTTACATGGTGTAAAGCCAATTTTTGCCACACATCTCTTCCAAAATCAGGACTCTTGGCTAGGTAACAGATCACAGATGCCATGGGCTCCCCTGCACCATATACATGTGTAGTTACTTTCTGCATTGGTGATACATTTCAGATAACACATGAAATTCTCTGTTGCAATCATGGATGTTTTGCTTTAAAAAAAAAAAAAAGAATTAAAACCCTGAATTTTCTAACAGTAGTAGCATGCATGAAAATAGACTAGTACTTTCATCACAGATCAGGCTAAGACATGACTTCTATCAGCTGTTGTTCCACATTTGTATTAAAAGTCTCAGTAAGTAAAAAAATACTAAAATATTTTTCTGCTCAACAACACAATTGAAATTGCATACAAGACACTTCAAACTCTGTAAAAGATCTGCTTTTAGAAATCTGCTTCAATGTCTTAAGTGGTTGAACGTTATCTTTGTTGGATGCGTGTACCATGCATGCTAGGTTTATATTTAAGAATTAAAAATGTGTTGCTTAGCCCTGATTACACTGCTCCCTCTGCAATAGGCCTGTAAGTGACCTCTCCTTCAGTGATTTACTTTCTAGATTCTAGACCTAGGGATATCTATATTGAAGTCCATCAAACACCCCCGGAAATCTAAAGGGGGGAAGAAGAGTAGGAAAGGGGGCTAGAACATCACTATACATTCCTTTCTAAAGTTATTTTTATAAAATGCATATGTCAAGTAATTCTTTTGTTTCATTGTACTGTAATAAGGCTTGCATACTGGAATCTCATAAAACATCCACATGCTGGCATCTCCTCCTATTCATCAATTATTTGGGATTTTCAAAAGCTGTATTAGCTCTACATAGAGCTCAAGCCGCAGAATCTGACTTCAGCAGCTCACCATCCGTGTTCAGGAAAATCTAGCCTTTCTTCTTGCTTCTGCAGATTTTCCAGATTGCTCTCCCTAAAGGTACTAAACTAAAGATACAAAGCTACTTCAGACTCCACATCTGATACAGTAATTCTAGTGTAAGGGCTTATTATTATTATTAACTTCTGAAGCACAATAATCTCCTATACAAAGCGACCCGAGTTCCTTCTCTGCACATTTCCTCCTTCAACAAAACCTTAAATTTTGATATAAGTATTACTAGGAATGATAAGGTTAACTCTGCCCCCTTGTGTGTGCATGGAAAGATACATCTCTTACACCATGCAGTTATTACATTTAAACACACACCCTTGTTTAGTGACCTCATCAGGTATCAACAGCAGTCAAGGATGTAACATGTTAGAAAGAAAAAGTCAAAGTATGTGTGACTAGGTCACCCCCAGATACTGTATACAGCCTCCTGACCCCTGCAATTCCAGGCCCACCAAATGAAAGCAATAGTGCTGCAGTATGCTGTACAAGTTTAACAAATGCTATATAGTTATTGTAACAATCTCCAGATTTTGGAAAGAATTTCCTCCTATTAATCATGTTCTGTTATAACCCAGGATATAAAAGTTTTAGCAATAACACATCCTTTTTATTAAAGTCTATGCACAAAAGAAACGTAGACTCTTTTTAAACAAGAGTTTAAAAAAAAAAAAAGTACTTACTGCTTCTACTAATTACGTTACAACTTGACTAGCATCATTGATTTGAAAATTTTGAGGTTTATCTTCTACAGAAAGGGAAGAACAGTCCCAATTTAAAGAGAGGCAGCTGAAGAGAGGTCAGATAATCAGCCGAGTCACAGCCTGAAAAAAGAATACTTATTCCTCCAATATTCTTGCAGTCAAGGTGCTACACTGCTTCTCAGAGGGCTCTAACGGCAACTTCAGTAAGGCTACAGCTGATCACAGCTGGTTAGAGCACTGCATGCCACAGGACAGAACATGATGGTACTCTGCAAAACATCCAAGCCCAGAAATGCTGCTGCAAGTTTGAACATTCTTAAAATAAGAGCTACTTCCCATGACTATTATGTTCAATGGAACTATCACTGAACAACAACAAAAATAAACAAACATTTATCCATCCCTCTCCGAGCACTCCTATGTTTTCAAAGGGCCAGATTGTTGTAACTTTTTCCAGTACAAATCAGAAACAGTTGGAAATTACTAAACTTGGGACAACTTGTATTCTACTCCTGACTTTGCTGTTAGCTTGCTGGGCTACTTTCTAAGTTCTCTCTTCTCTGTATTAAAGGAGGCCATACAATATAGGCTATACATATCCTCAGATGCTGGGTGGCTACTTGCAAATGTAAGCAGCTTGGTACATTTATGTGCCTTTAAAATTAAGCTATCCAGATTACAGCTATGCTGTGGGGTCTCTTATTTTTAAGCACACTTTTTCATATCTTTATTAAAGAGTCTTATAATTCCATTTTAAAAAAAAGTTAGAAAGGAAATTAATTTGTTTTTTCTTTCAAGAGAACCTTCTCAGAGACAAGAAAAGCCTTAGACAACTACTTTTTCTGCAGCAAGGAGGAACAGATGAAAATGGGAAACGCTATTTCATAGCATGCTTTATCCTGAACCTTTTGAAAAAAGTTTACTATGCATTTTTCTGCATGAATTTTGACTCAGCATTTGAACATTGGAATGGGGAGAACCAAAATAAAACACTTTCGTTTTTTATGTCAACTTAGGACATGAAAGAAAATGAGAGCTTGTCTCTGATTGCAAAACAACAACCTTTAGAATCAGAGATGTTTGTTCAAAGGATTGCATTCAAAGGAATGTTGCAGATAAATTTTTTCTAGCTTTTTTCAGCTGCACAAACTTTTGCTGAGGATTTTTCCTCCTTTTTTAATGCTTGTTGTATTTTCAAATCTTTATACGTTTCATGCATAGCATTATGTACTTACACCTTAGAACCACAATACGTTTTCTGCTTTAAAACCAACAAGAACAGTTGAAAGCCAACAGCACTGATGCCACTGAAGCTTCACCATTAACAATGAAAATCTCAGGATTTTGATTACATAATACTGTTTAAATATCACATACAACTTTCACAGCCCAGATTCAAAATGTATATGAATTGAAATACTCATTTCTAGTTGTTACCTCATTATGACTTGTTGTCATGCTGCCTTACTACTTACTCATACTTTCCCTTCTATTGTCATCTTCTTTTAGGATGGATTCCTTCTGATTGTCCTGGGCTGCCTGGCTGGAGTTCTCTTTATCACTGGACGGGGAATCACAAGCTCCATCAGACTTCTTTTCAGAGGCCTCTTCATCAGTTTTCTCCAAGGGATGTATTTTCACAACTTTCACAGGCAACATTTTCTCCTTACCAACCTGCAACAAAATATTAATGAAAACTGAACCTGAGCAAGACACATGAACTAACAACCTTTAACATTATGGGAAAAAAAATAAATGAAAGCCAACCAAATCCCACACCAAAAAAAGGAATAGTAATCTGCAGTTTGGCCAAACACTTGAAAGAAGCTTATTATCCCTGTCATAAAACAACTACAGGATTTCTTTCTACTATTCCTATCTGGCAGCTCTGTACAAATTGCTTAAAAAATAAAAGAGAGAAACCTGCCAACCCACTAGTTTCTTCAGCATTTAATAATGTTGCTTTCTCAACCTAAGGAAGGAGTATGTAGGCAAAATGAATGTGTACTACCTTTGTAGCTACAAATGAAAGAATATGTCCTAAACAAAACTGAAAATAGAACTTTTTTTTAATAGTAATTTTCCTTACTTTTAATAAGTTTGAGTTTTCCCTATCAATCATAGTTTTGGAGGAATTTTTCTAATTACTAGAGTATCGTTAGATATTTCTAAGCAGTTGACCTCAAGGTACATCAGTTTAAGACTATCACTCCTTCTGAGAACATGTTATGTGAAAAGATTACAGCAGATTATAATTTTAAACGACTAGTAATTAAAATATAAATGTATTTTACATATAATGCAATGGTCTTTGTGTATGTATTTCGTGTTTAAACTATAAAACAAAGCTGTTGTGTCCCCGTTCTGCCCTGCCCCCCCCCCCCCCCCCCCCCCCCCAAAAAAAAAAGTCACTCCTTTTTCTTATGACATTTGTATGGGTCATCTGTGTGCTTCTATTCTACCATAGAACTGTTTCACATTCAAAAGCAGGTGATGTCACTAGGATTCCAAAAAAATCTCACCATCTTTCTGATATTGCATGTGGCTAACGTATTCTTACCCACCTCTGCCTTTAGATATACAAAATTAGTTCTGTGCAAAAGCACGGGAAAAAATTGAAAATGGATCCTTACCTCAAAGTCACACTCTTCTCCCACTGCGAATTTGGTCATGATCTCCAGCCAAGCTGCATCCACCAACTTTTCCAAAGACACAGTGTTGTGGTGGACTATTTCCAGTACCAGTTTCTCATACCAGATGGGGAACTCCTCCTTTAAGCTGAGCAAGGAGGTAAGAAGCTTTCATTATTAAAGGAAGAAAGGCCAAAATGCAAAGTAACCTCCAGTTTTGCAATTCCAGGAATGCTTACAGCTAGGACAATGTTCCAGGCAAATGCCACACTGGAATGCAAAGACAGAAAGGCTTTTTCATGCCCTCCCCATCTGCACTCTCCAAACTGTCAATTGGCATGACAATACTAATTGTGCTTGTCCTTCCCAGAAAAAACACTGTGAAAAATTCTGGGAAGAGTAGCACTGACTTTCTTGCTGGTTATTACTGCCTCCCAATTAAATGGGAAACGTATACCAAAAACTTGTCGTCATTCTGGGACTTGTTACTTTAAGGTTTTTGTTTCCAACAGTAAGATGATGCTAATGAACACTGAGCTTTTCTTTCTTCCCAAACGCTGGGCTTACACACTCCTAATGCAGGAAAGAAGGCAGGTCTAGGCTTACACAATCAAGTTATCTTTCCAGAGAAAAATGTCTTGTGTGTTTCACGCCATGCCAAGATCTTAAAGCTTTTTCATTTAAAGAAGAGAGAAGACTTACAAGTTCACTCGACTAATTTACTTACTAAAGGATCAAGTCAGTTCAGTTAATTGATAAGAGTGCTGAGAAGTATATTGCATAAAGATTTTTGGCTCTGCATATATTGCGAAAATAAAATCTATTTCAAGTTACTGTAAGAATGAACAAAATACTCCACTTTTCCCTTTTAGCTTTCTCTGCTATATTTGCTGTTCTGCAACTGCCATGAACAAATTTATCCATTTTGCAAACTTTTTTTTTTCCTATCAGCAGCCCATAAACTGCCTAGGAAGCTTTTAATCCAGTTTCAGAGAGACAAGTCCAAAATTTCACTTCATAGAATGTTTCCCACACACACATTTCAAGAGACTACAGCTAAATGTTATTGATACATTTTTCATTTATGTTCCATTTTTCAATGTTTTCAGAAGTGCACAACCAATTAAACGTCACTACCCAACAGGACATGACACTAGTCAGCTGCACACCCTCCTCACAGGCAGGAAGTGATGGGTGACAGTAGTACTTCAAGCCTCATCAACATTAGGACTATTAGGAAAAGAGATTTTTGTTTGTTGCCTTTAAGGATGCGTTTAAACTTAAATAATGGATAAAACTTAAAATTTCTCCTCAAACTGAAGCTATTAACTATTTTGCCAGTCAGAAACTTAGATTTTTCATGAAAGAGATGCAGCTGAAACTTTCCTCTCAATTTTCCTCTCATATGCTTACAGTATGCCCAGTTTAAACCCGGGGTAAAAAAAAAAAAAAAAAAAAGTTACAGAAATCCAAGTCATCAGTTCACAGAAGAGAGAAATATACCATTTGCCTGGCATTATTCCTACAGTTTGATATGCACAAAATACATTATGTATGTTAGTTCAGCCAACAACTTGCACCTTTCAAGAGAATTCTCTTATGGCAAGGGTCACCATGGATCTCAACCAAGGATTCAGGGCCTATGCTGTGCACTAGAGGGGGAGGTCATGGACACACCAGCAAGGAAGAACAACGGAGGTTTGAATTGATTAATTATTCTTGCTGTTATCCCTTTGTTATTTATCATTTCAAATAGAGTAGATCCCCAAATGCTTACTCCAAAGTAGTTGCATTTAGTACAATGAGTGATTCCAATACAGATGTGCCAAAAATAATTACAGCTGTGGAGCTCACTGATATGAAATTCCAAAAACTTATTTTTAAAATGATTTTTTCCCCCTGTGAAGAATTTCCATTACTCAAGGAACTCTAAAATTCATCAAGTAGCATATGCTGAACTATTTTAGTTCAAGTAATACCAAGATACAGCACAGAAGTGCATTACTCAACTGCATTAGCAATGGCATCAAATTTGGATTTTGCTTTTAACTCCAGAATCCCCAGATCTAGTCAAAGCCAGTAAAAAGTTACCTACTTCAAAAACTAGCAATCATATCTCATTCCCAAGTCCTCTCTTTTGCCCCTAAGACAGACATACCAATTTTTTCACTGGTACTTACAGCTCAGCAACTTCCTGCTCCTCCTCCCAAGCTTCTTTGTGCGTCAGCTGGCTGCTTCCTGTGCTTTTGCATGTCCATATTCGCTCACTGTATCTCTCCAACCGCGCTTCATATTCTCTGTAGCAGTAGCAGCTCAGGAAAACAGGATTTATGCAGTAGAAAGCATAGCCGGAGTAGCACAAGACAATCTAATTCAACTAAGCTCATTCTATTTGAGTGCACAAAGACTAAAGGTAAGGTTTGACTCTGCATCTACCATGGAGATGCTGCACTAAATCTGATAGATTATTAGACCAGGACCCTTTCAAACTTTCTGCAGCTGAAATGTCTGTCCTCTTCTGTGCTGGCATACAGAAGGTAGCACACCACCATTGGTTCAGCTGAAATGCTCCAGGGAAATACGTACCATTAAGCGCTTCTTAGTTTTGCTAAGTTTTCAGGTATTCCAGTCTGATTCATTGGAAAGCAGCACCAACATCACAGGCAGATGCAGGAAGCACAGATGAACCATCACTAATTGCCTGAGAGTAACTGTTGGTGAACTACCACTCCAATGCTTTAGGGTGATATTATAAACTTCAGATGCAAACTAGCGGTCTACCCAGTATCCCCAATCTTTTGGGGAGAAAAAAATAAATACCAGAAGCCTTGAAACTGAAGTCACAAGGAAGGCCATGTTTGCCGTAGTTTCCAACGGAAGCAACCTCCTGGGTTAGCACAACATTAGTATCTTCATCATCATCTCCTGCTTCCTATACCACAACCAGCCTCAAAGTTAAGTTATTCTGCCCATTAAGTTTAATAGTTGCAGAGGTGAGTTGCTGTAGTGCAGACACTCGTATGAAATACAGCATTAGCTACTCTGTTATAAGCATCTCTGCCTATGCTTTACCCATTCCACCTAAGAGGTAGTTATCTGTCAGTAAAAACAGATAAGCTACTTCATACTTCCTGTGGACTGTATAGGCAAAATTGTCAGAAAAGCTAATACAGTGTGAATTCTTAACAATTTACCCTGTGGCAGCCTGTTTAATTTGATGTCTATTTAAATTACCATTGGAAAGCAAAGAAATTATAACAGAGGGGCAAAAAAAAAAAAAAGTCTCTCTCTCTCTTCTCCTTTGGTGCATTTTCCAGCAGAAAGCAAACAAAGAGCTCAAAGCAAACATGTAACAACTACAGAGGCTCGGCCCACTGCAGCACAAGTGCTAATTACAAGTGAGCTGCTGTGGGAGCATGCAGATTGCTCCACTCTCCTGCGAAGGCAGAGCCACCAATCACAGCAAGCCATGCTTTGTGCTTCGCGTACACTTTGTCAAAAAATTTTAGCATGACTCAGCTAAAGTTTTGTTGTAGTTGGTGGTTTTAAAGAGATTTGTATTAGGAAGGCGAGTTGCAATTCCAATGAAACCAGTTTTCTTGGACATAAGGAACAGACGCTACTCTGAAAACACTGACAGGCACGTTATAGCTACATCAACCAGAGCTATACAAGAATACCAAAACACAGCACTGCCACTGCTGAGAGCACTCGTGTCTGCCCAGAACACGTCTTAAATCTGAAAAATCCCCCATTTCCCCAACAGCCCTTCTCGGAGTATTTCCTGCTCCTTGGCAGATGAATTTGCATTAGACAGGGCATCATCCAACTAAGCTTTGAGTCCTCTGGCTAATTCTTATCCCTCTCACCTGTGAAGTTTCAAAAGCACCTAAGTTTCCTCAGCCTTTATCACAGCTGAGGGTACCTGTTTCTCAGCCCATGCAGCAGCCTGGGGCTGCAGGACACAAAGCAGTGGGGCAGTGGCAGGAGTCAAGGAGAAAGTGCAGCTTAGAGCAGCTCATTGCAAGAGATGCTGACCAGGCCAGAAGTGTGATTTTAGTAAGCTTCTGTAACAATATCAAGCTGAAAAAAAATCTAACCAGAAGCCAGGAGTCCTCCTTGTATTTACAGCAATTGGAGATTCTAATAATGACTAAATTGAAGTCATAATGTTGTTCTTTCCTATGCCTTTCCCACAAGAAGCAAAGTCAAAAGCAAATTCAATCCTTACCATAGACAGGAATCTGAACATACAAACAACATTGGTCTTCAGTTTCCTTCAGCAAGCCACCTTCCCTCTCCCATGGATTTCCTTAGACATATCCATGGACGCTACTAAAGACTTGCAGCTGCCTAGTAAAAAACGCTAAAGGAAAAATACCCTTATTAAGGGTTCACCACACTGCCTTAATAAGCTTTCAGTATTCTAACTAACTATGAAGAAATGTTTGAGATAAGTGAGAAATAATGTTCTACTTCCTGCACTTAAAAACATTCTATGTCCCTGTGAGGAGATAAGTAATCCTCCCAGCAAGGAGAACAAAATAAAAAATAAAAAATGCTCATCTCCAGTTGATATATACTTAAAATGTATGTATTGCTTTACCTAACACCATCTCCCATACTAACAGGAAGGCTCACAAGGATTTTCCCTAAGCATTCTGCCTGTACATACTTATGAAAACATGTGAAATCCCACCATACTACAACTCATTTTTCTCAGATCAACATTGAATTTAGAAGTGGCAGGTACAGCAATTCCCCTGTCCAGTTCAACTCTGTCCCTCAAAATGCAATTTAATTCCACCTGCAGCTGGTCAGCTCTCATCTAACATTGACCCCTGGCCACATTCTTTAACCAGCGTTCGAGACTCATGGCCACAATCCTCATCCTTCCCTTTGTGCTCTGCTTGAAGCCTCTCAAGTCAGGTTCTACTTTTAAATCCTGGGGTGAGCACAAAGATGAACAGCAGGAGAATGTTTTCACAGTTTGCTGTGGCTCAAACTTTCCACTACACAAGCGCTGTTTGTCCTTTCAACTCAAATAGGTTGGGAAACAAACCCAACCTATTTCAAACTGTACAACAGATCTGGTATAGGGCTACAAGTGAGGGCTCACTGGTATGCCACAACCACCCCATCTTTCTACCAAGAGCACAGTTGGAACTGCTTTTGCCACAAACCCCTAGCATGCTAACTAAAAAACCCGGACAAAAGCTACTTGTGAACATTCCCCAAAAAGCTGTAATACATTAATACTGATGACTACCCACTGTGCAACAGTTAACAAATCACATTCCTTTTTTATCCTCCTGACATGACTTCAATGTTAGAAGTCAGGAAACAAATCTAAATCAAAAACAGTGGACCATTTTAAAGAAAAATGCTTAAAAGTACACAAGAAGACTATTAAACAGATACAAAGTTTGCTCCTTCCCAGATTAGTAATACTCTCATATAAATTAGTATCAACTCCAAAATAGCTTTACAGTATCATAATTGTTTCCACATGTAACAGCCAGAGGCAAACTTACCAGGAAGTACATTTATGAAGTGGGTGGGAGGCAAAGTTTTCACACAATTGCAGAGCATGACATGACCATGTTTTGGTGCTGCCACCTTTCATCCAGATTTTAATTTTCTGATATTACACGTCAATATGTAAACTATAATGGAGTCCAATTCTTCATGTTTTCTCTGCAGTTCACTGTACAAACCCATAAACTAAAGATAGATGTGTGCAATCACAGCAAACTTTTGCCTGGGGAGAAGAATACAGCTTCCCAAGAGTCACCGAAGGAAAGCTTTGGCTGGAACAGTCCATCTTGCCAGCCCTGGTCAATGAGCTCTCCAAACTGTGCCTTCTCTTGAACTAGCAAAGGAGTTTTCCCAACTATGGCCAGCACAACAGAACACACTACAGCAGTTCCACACATGAATGGAAGAGATGGCCTGGTGTCAACAGCATGACTTCTGGATTTTGATAGACATCAAACTCACTGTACATGCACCACAGACAGTTCACCTTCCCTGGTGCACACATGAAATAAACAGGACAAAACTGTCCCATACTTGAAGCAGGGATAATTTATTTGCTTCATACCTCACATGATCTCAGAGTAGATCCTACAGAGCTCGAGCCATAAGGAGCCTATTTCTGACCATTCTGTGATTCATCTATCCCCACACAATGAACAAGTCTCACTCTGAAACACAAGGCTTCTCTAGCATGCAAGGGACTCTACACAGCACAGTTGCTCTTAAAAGATTTCCAGGGGACTTAACTAGAGAAGAAAGCCATGTAAAACTAGAAATAAACTTCACAGACAAATAAATATCTGAGCTCTGATGACCAGTCTATCCATCTGCCCACTGCTTTTAGACACTTTCTTAACCCTTGCCCACAGGACAGATGTCTACCCTCACATTTACCACACAATAGCCCCATTTCCGTTCTTATTCAACCTAACCTACAGCCGCAAATCGTAAAGATTCTTAAAGTTTGTGTCTTTCAAATACTACATTCATAGCTGTGCAGTGTAAGAGCCTGCAAACCTTAAGGGCAAGAGCTGATCAATTGCTTTTCAAGGTGGAAAAAGGTCAGGCAACCACATTCTGCCAGGCCCTGGCACTACCCACACCAAGAGCTGTTCTGGGTACAGCCCTCTCTGCAAGCTAGTGCAAATGAACGGCTTTTGTGGCTATCCAGGGTCAACAGAAGTGACAAAAAAAACCTCCAATCTTCCTTAGGTAACATCTCCCTTCAGCCTATTGACTCATTTGCAATTTTCTGTTCCACTTTTTGCCTAGCTTGTATTATATACATAGGCAACAAAGTAAGATAGAAACCTAACATAACTTAGTTTCTCTTTTTAGCTTCTTGACATGTCTGGCAACACGAACTTTCTAGAACGGGCTAGGCTGTCAGCCTCCCACTGCATTCCATGTAGTACTTTCTCCAACAGAAAAGCATCTCTGTAGGACCTCTGTGCTTGCATGTGCTTTCTTTCCTTCTAACCCTGCAGCTACCAGCATCCTCTCCCAGGAGAGAGAAAACATCATTTCTTTTTTAAGGCTAATACCATCCAAGTGTCCACAGAAACATGTCCTACACCTGCTCATCGATCCACAAGAGCCATGCTAACAGACTGGTGTTCTCATAAGGTGCCCCTAAACACCTCTGAGCTATTCCTACATGACAGATGAACCTTAAAGCAACATCTACAACAGCAGTAATTAAAATTAAACTCCTATTTTTGACCACTGATACTTCCATGAAGAGGAAGAGAACAGGTCTGCCTCTGCCTGGCCAGTTGGAAGACTGAGCTCCTTTCAGTTTGTTTACACAAACATAGGATGCTGTTTGGTTTCAAGTGGAATATATTTGAATTTACAGTACTTTTAAAAAGCACATATCTACCTTGTATCAAACACTCAATTTTATTGAGTGAATTTTATTGGTCAGACTGCATTAATAATGCCTATTTGCACTCATATATGCATTTCCTCTTCAAAAGCGAGCTAATCCTTCCTAGTGGCTTTTGCATTCTCTTCTTCGTGCTGAAGTAACACGACACGCTTACATCCCCAATGCCAGGAGGGTCTGTGTAAGTGCTCAAATCCCTGTGTCTTGCACGCCGACAAGATCTCTGAGGTACATTTCTTTATTTATGCATTTCTGCCATGGTTTCAGTCCTTCCTTCGGTTCTCAGTTCCTCAGATTCTGAGCCATATCATCACGCAAGCAACAAATCAGGCTCCTGAGGCAGCGCTCTGTAGGTTACACGCAGAAGTCCTGCCCCTCAGCCCGGCACAGGGCCCAGCCGCTAACGCTGCCCACGCAGCCGCACAGCTCCCGTCAGGATCTGCCTTGCCCACGTCCACTTCCTGCCTCACGAAGAGCGGCGCGCACCGGCCTCCACGGGACCCAAAGAGCCGCTTGTCTCGCGAAGGCGGCCCTGAAGAAACCCCTCCCGTTTGAGCTGCAGCCCCCCGGCTGCCCGCGGGCAGGTTCCTTCCGCCACTGTCTCATTCGTTCCCGTGCGGGAGCCCCCGGTCCCTCCGCCCCACCCTCCCCCGCAGGACGCAGACCCCGCGGCTCTCCTCCAGAGCGCGGCGCCCGCTCCGGTCAGGCAGGAGGCCGCCTGCGGCACCCACCGGGAGGCTTCCGCCCTGCCCGGCGCTGTCTCGAGACGCGGCGTGCGCGAGGCTGCTCCCGGGCCCCTTCAGCCCGTCGTTCGCCCGCTTTTAGCCGCCTGCGAAGCGGGGAGAAGCCCGCCAGGAGCCCCGGCCCGCCCGCGCCAAAGAAGAGGCCGGGGCCGCCCGGCGGATACCGGCGGCCTTCGCCTCTCGGCCCGGCTTCGTTCGGCGCGGCCCCGGGCTCGGCCCCGCCGCCGCCTCGCACGGGCCCTCCCCAGGAGGCCCGGGACGGCCGCGAAGGCCGGGCCCGCGCCCACCCGGCACTGACGCCGCTCGCGCGGCCGCCCCGGAGCCGCCGGCGGGTGACAGCGACGCCGCCCCGGGGCCGTCCCGGCCGCCTCCTCCCCCCCCCCTCCTCGGCCGTGCGGATACTCGCGGGTGCGGAAGGCCTCCTGCGTGTGCGGGATGATGAACCGCTCCCCCGGCTCCCCCGCCGGCAGCGGCTTGGCCAGCGGAAAGGGCTTGCGGCCCAGCAGCGGCGCCATGGCGCGGCGAGACGGGCCCCGGCTGCGGCCGGCGGATCCGCGCGGCGGCGGCACCGGGCGGGAGGATTGAAAAATGGCGGGAGATTCCCCTCCCCCTCCCGGGCGGGCGGCAGGCCCGGCCTCGCCGCGCGCACCCGAACCTGCCCACCCCGCGCCGCGCGGCCCGCCCCGCCCCCCGCGGCTCTGAGAGCCTACTGGCTGGCCGCCGGAAAGGCCGGCTTCCGATTGGCTAGCCCGCCCGCCAATCGCCCCGCCCCCTCGGCGCAGCACTCTACCTTGCGCCGCGCGCAGGGTGAGAGGTCGCGTTATGTAAGGGGCAGGGAGCGAGCCTCCATCTTGTGCCCCGGTCCCCTCCCGCCCCTCCCCGCCGCGGCCAATCGAGGCGCGCCCCCCCCTCCCCGCCCATCCGGGTACCGCGGGGCCGCGCGCTGGGCTTTGTCCTCCGCGCTCGGCTCGTCCCGCTGCCCCCTCCCCCGGCTCTTAAAGGGGCAGGGGCAGGCGGGGCGCCGCGGAACGGCGGGCGTCGCTCGTGTGGGGGCCGCCGCCTTCGGGAAGGGGTCCGGCCGGGGAGGTAGCGAGGGTCCCGGTCCCGTTTCCTCGGTGCGGGGCTCAGTCGGTGACTGGGGCGGGCCCGGGGGATCGCGGTGCTGCCAGGCCCGCCCGTTCGTGCCGGTACCGCCGGGCTGGCGTGGGGCCGGGTCCCGGCTCTGAGGCACGGCGCGGGGCTGTGCCGGCTGCCGCCGCGGCCGGGGTGCCGTGAGGCCTGGGCATCCTCTCGGGTGCTGCTTCTGTGCGAGGACGTAAGTCCAGGAACTGTGTGCTTTTTTGTTGTTGTAGATTGCTTGTTTTTAATCCAAAATTGAGTGTTGTTGTTGTTTCTTTTATTACAATAAAGCATTCGTGCCGAGTTCATGTTACATCTGTTCTTACTAGTGATCCCAGGGGCAGCAGCTCAAGCGCAGCCTGCCAAAAGCTGTCACATAAACACGAGCCCAGGAGTGCACCTTCTAGCCCCTTTTTCAGTGATCAGGAATGCTGATTTTACCTAACATCTAGCGTATTAAATAAGTATGTTTTAGCAATCCCAGATCCCCACTGCCTCATTGCACTGAGGAATGTGTTTGTTTTGCATAGACCTGCTATTACTACTTCAGAGTGAAAAGAAGAAGCCTTAATGAACAGTGGGATTTGTGGGACAAATTCGTCTTTTCAGACCATAAAGTTAGGTGAAGTTGGACAACCTGGTACATCAACACTATATCCTGCCATTATGCATCTCCACTGAAAAAGCAGCACTGCATAAAACAAGGAGTTACTGTTTTATCATGATTCCTTCCTCTAGCACAGAAAAGCATAGGTAAAAACAAGTCCCCTCTTCGCCACCTTGCAAGCAATCAGTGAAAGCACGCAGAAATACAGTGCTCCCTAAATGCTAGCAGCTGAAGCTCTAACAAGGTCCTCAAGGGTGAAGCCTCTCCACCTCCTCAGGCCAAAGAAGCCTGTCTTAATGGCTTGTTTTTTGACCATCTGACTCCAGCCACCTATTACTTATATGCTAGAGCAGTGAGAAACTCAAAACAAACTAAGAACACCTTCTTCCCATCCATCTTCTTCCATGTCCTCCCACTGAGTGACTCAGGGGAATGGGAAATGGAGGCTGTGGTCAGTCCTTGATGCTTTGTCTTTGCTGCTCCTTCACAGTCCCTCTCTGCCCCTGCTCCCTGTGGGGTCCCTCCCACGGGATACCGTCCTTCCCAAACAGCCTGCAGGGGCTGCCCACAGGCAGCAGCTCCTCAATAACTGCTCCCACATAGCTCCATGCCACGGGGTCCATCTGTCAGGAGCAAACTGCTCCAGCACGGGTCCCCCATGGGCAGCAGCTCCCCCCAGGCCCCAGCTCCTGCGTGGGCTGCTCTGCACGGGCTGCAGTGTGGAGATCTGCTCCATGTGGGACCCATGGGCTGCAGGGAGACAGCCTGCTCCACCAGGGGCCTCTCCACAAGCCACAGGGGAACTTGTGCTGCGTGCCTGGAGCACCTCCTGCTGCACTCACCTTGGTGGCTGCAGGGTGTTTCTCACTCCTTTCTCTCCCAGCTGCTGTTCTGCAGCAGTTTTTTTTTTTTGTTGTTGTTTGTTTGTTTGTTTGTTTGTTTCCCTTTCTTATACATGTATGTCTGCTCTTGCAGAGGCATGAACAGTATCACTTATTGGCTTGGCTCTGGCCAGTGGCAGGTCCCTTTGCAGCTGGCTGAAATGGGCTCTTATCTAACACGGGGCAGATTCTGGATTCTTCTCACAGAAGCCACCCCTGGAGCCCCCACTGCCAAAACCTTGCCATGTAAACCCAATACAAGTAGGCATGGGTTTTGGCACAAATAGCTGTGCAAAATGTGCTTTTCTCAAGCAACAGAGCCAAAACTGTTATCCGTTTCTGTAACAGACATGATAGTTTCTGTATCACACCCTTCACATGGGAAAATGTATTTACCAGATTATTTTAATAGAAGTATCACATCATTTCTGCTGGTGGAGTGGGAAAAGAAATTAACTTCACGGGGCATTTATTTGTTTATGGTACTCAGAAAGCTTTGAGTCTCCCTTGAACATGTCAGTTACCATACTGAACACATTGCCAGTTGACATACAGAAATCAGCTGAAAGTATGTTTAAATGATTGTTTAACAAGCTGGAGATAGTGGTAATGCTGTAATGTAAGGATAAAGTTAATTAACAGAATAAGAGTGCCTAAGATGCAGATACAAATGCATCTCTCTCTCTAACTCCACAAGATGCAATGCAGGGATCAAATGGCGTGCTTAGAGAAAGGAGACAACAGAAATCAGCTGTGTCCTGGATGCTCTCATGGTGCCAGGGAGGATCCAGGTACATGGGTGGGTCTGATGGACCTCACTTGGCAATGGGTGCTGAGGAGCGCAGAGCTCCTGTTATTCCCCTGTGCACATGCTGTGCCATGCAGGAGTAATTGACTTCACCGGGTAACTTAACAGCAGAAACGCAGTCACAGAGGGGGCATTCAGTTGGCTTCTCTTTCTCTCTTTATCTGATAGTCTGTATACAGTTGCTAGAAATAGTCTGTCTCTTCACTGCATTGCTACACTTGTTGTCTTTAACCTGGCATCTGTGTTTGGACTAAATTTGGTGTTGTCCTTCGTACATCAAAAGGCACATTGGTGTCCTGCTGTGCTTGGCTACATCTCAGCCCCTCCAAGATCAGCCACACCACTGTCTGCTCTGTGGTTCACCCTCTGCTCATGCTCAGCTCGGTCCCAACAAACACGCACAGTTCTCACTTGGTTCCTACATCCTGCTTTGGTACTGCCAACCCCCAGGCCTGTCCTGCCAGTGTGTGGGGCAGGACCCGCCAGGGCTTCCCCCCACTCCATACCTGGCTCCCTGCACGCATTAATAGAGCACAGAACTAATGCTGAGATAAATGAATCTCTATTATGCTAACACTTGTCCTTATTTACTTCTGCTGCCAGAACTGGGATTTAATGCCATAAATATAATGGTGAGTTTAGGAATTTCTGTTGAGGTTTCTCTTTACCTCGGTCAGGTGCTGTAGGAGCTATAGGAGTTATTTTCAAAGCAGAGTGGGATCACAGCCATTGAAAGAGGATTGCATGGTACATCCCATAAGTGTTGCTTTCCTTGCTTGCAGCTTTATCAGACCTCAGTTTCTTGGGCTGAACTTTCCTGTCCACTTCCACAGGCTGCAGGGTAAAGTGAGGATGAGAAGGAAAAATGGTGTGTAAGGAAAGCAGATGCGAGTTTGGGTTTTGCGGGGATCAGGTGCAGATCCGGACCACAGAATAGCTTGGGGTGAGGGGGCTGGACCCATGGGGAGGGGTGGGAGAAGAGCTGCGGTTCCCTGAACCCAGTGCCAGTCCAGTGCCTCTGTCCTGCCAGCACCCTCCAGCCACGGTGCAGGGCCACCCAGCTCGGCCTGGTGTCTTTCCGCCCTTCAGGAAGGTCAGAGGTGTGCAGGAAACTGCTCCAAAGAGGCAGGCAGGGATACAGCAGTGCTGAGCACCCAGGAAGCAGCCTGCTTGGCCCATCTGGCTCTCTAATTTCTGGTTGAGAGCCCAAAGACACTGCTCATGCTCTGCTTAGTGCATGGGTTAAACACAGAGCAGGCCAGATTTGCTTCCGAAGTACCCCAATGCTGTGTCTCTCTTCCTTGGGCTATACCCACCATGGCTGTGCCTTCTTGGTCACACGGCCTCTGAGTTATTCCAGGGTGGTTTTCAGGGGCTGTTGTAGACTGAGTTTCCCAGCTGCCCAGGAGATGGCAGTCTTGCATTTGGACAATGTATGCAGGCATTCCCCAGATCATGCTTGAGATTTTTTGAAGAGTGGTTTGAAGCTTGGAATAAAACCCAAGTTGTAGGTCATGTGCTTGGCTCTGCTGAGGAGAAGAGAGGGCTGTCTCTGCAGCAGGTGATGGTCCATGCTGTGAGATATAAAGTGATAAATCAGGGCAGTGAGCCATCAGCAATGAGTACAGTAGGCTCATCAGAGAATGTATTGATGGTGCAAACATCAGCAAAGGCACAGCATCCCTGTCACGGAAGTATCACCACAGAGGACCTGAAGATGGGAGGCTTGTGCAGCTTCAGTGCCTCCAAGTTTGAGGGCTTTAATCAAAGCCAGGTAAAAGCCTTATTGCAAGTACTTAGCTCACACTAAAAAGCCTTCCCAGTCAGAGCCATGGCTACTGCCATTAGCTGTTTGTGCAGGGAGTACATGATAGGAACCTTCCCTCCCTACCCTTCCTGACAGCCCAGTCCCCACCAGGAGGTGTAGGAGTTCCCTCTGCTCCACGCTCCCACCCCTCAGCCACTGTTGCACTTCCCCTTTGTCCCTGTCCTCCCTTGCCTGCACCAGCACCCCCATGTAATCCTCATCCTGTTCAGGGCTTTCTGTCCCCTTTCCAATCCAACTCAGGGGCTGCATCCTCACTCCAACTCATGTCCCATACTCATTCACCTTTCTTGCCCTTTGGTCTGGGAGAGGTGACAGTTTTTTGCTCAAAGGAAGAAGAGTGGAGATGAGCAAGAGGCACAGTTGCTGGAAGGGTGCCAGGGGCAGTCTTGGATGAACAGCCCATCACAGAGGCTGCTGGACATAACTAGCATCAGTTT